ATGCTAAATTTAATGATTCTCTAATAGATATAGTTTTCATTGGTTTTTTCCATGAGTAAATTGTATTTTGGATAGATATGTATTTTGTATTTTAAATATTAATTGTTTATTCTAATTTATTTATAATAAAAATTAGTAATGTTTTAATATTTATAGAAAATATATTTTAATAATATATCAATCATTTTTTTATTTTATTATACTTTTAAAAGCTATTTTGAACATAAAAATGCCCTCATTTTATATATTTATTTAACTTATTTTTTATAATAAATAATATATTTACTTTATATATTATATTTTGATATATTATTATTGTTTAAAACTATTTTTTTATTTATACATAACATAGAATATAAAATTAGACATTTTATGCATTTTTTTACAACTTTTTTTTCTTATGTTAATAATTTTTATTTTTGAAGATGAAAAGTAATAACTGAAATATATAAGTAAAAATAATAATTTTTAAATAAAATAAAAATTATAAACTTATTCTATTAATATATGAAAAATATAAAAAAAAATTAAAAAAAAAAATAAATTGACGAATTGGTCTAGAGAACTATTTGTAAATTAATTTATATATATATTTTTAATTTATTAACAAAAAAAATAAAGAGATTTAAAAATATTAGATAATATTTAAAATAATATTTTATTTTTATTTTAAATTAAAATATAAAATATCTTTATACAAGTTTTTAAAAATAAAGTAAATATAAAAAATTTTATTATATAATATTATATATATAAGTAACTTCTAAAATATTAATAGTCGTATTTTTGTAATATATATATTCTTATATAAATAAAATAAAAATATATATAAATATATATAAAAATATATATAAATATATATATATATACATATATATATTTATATATATATACATTTAATCCACTATTTTCTTTGCATAATCTAATATTGTTAATTATTACTTAAATATATGCTTTTTTTATTTGAAAATTATATTTATTTATTATATAACTTTTACTAATATGTTTTGAAAAAATATTTAAATATACATATATATAATATAATTATATTATCATTCATATTAATTTAAATTTTTTAAAAAAATTATAATATATCTAATGTTAAATTAGTAATTAAAATTTTTTATTATTCAAGAAAAATGTATTTTAATCAATAAAAAAAAAATATTGTACATTTTTATAGAATATCTATATGTACTTCCAAAGAAATAATTTAAAACTTAACTTCTTTAATTATCAATTTTTTTTAAAAAAAATAATAATTGTTTTATTTCTTTAAAATAAAATATAATACATAATATTTATTATTTTATATAAATTTTTAAAAATAAATATTTTTATATTTTCTAAAATACTATATTTTAATATATTATAAATAATATAAATATAATTTATTTGTTTAAGCCATATTTCCAAATATTTATATTTGTTATTATTTTTAAAATTTAATCATATTTTTCTCATTTCTTTTACAACTAAGGTAATATTTTTTATTTTTAAGAATAATTTATATATTCAGCAGTGCTTAAATCTAGTGACATTATCTTTAAAGCCTGTGTTTTTTCATTATAATATCTAACTTACTTAGAATTAGGTCTTTTAAGTAAAGTATTCAAGCTATTAAAAATATAATTAAACCATAATAATAATAATGAAATACCTGTTTTAATCCGAATTTTTTAAGTAAGACATAGTCCAGTATTCAGATGTAGGAATATTAGATTTTCTTAACTATTTTATTATATAAACATAAGAATATATATAAATATTTTTTAATATATTTTTTATAACTTTAATTTCAAAATTCTTACTATTTAGTGTGTTTAAAAATTCTTAATTATATTAATATTGTAAGTTTTTATTATTTACAGTTAATTTGATAAATTAAAAATCAATATTTAAAGAATAGCCTTAAAATAAAATATAAATATAACATATAAATAGAAAAAAATAAAATAGGTTACCCAAAGTAGTTAAATCTTAAACAGCACAAATAAATGCATAATGAGCACTTTCAACAACATCCTTTCCTAAAAAACTTTATATAAAATATATTTATTATTTATATAATTAAATATTAAAATAGATACCAAGATGCTGCTATTGGACCTGCATTACAAAAAGTCATTGCAAAACCTTTTTAATATATAGAAATTTAACTTTTTGATACTGAAATTTCTTCCTTTCCATGATATCTTAAAAGAGCCTATTTAAATTTTTTGTTAGGAACAAAGCAAGGTCTTTGTATAAATGTTATATTAATATTTAAAGATTTATAAAAACCTTATTTTATGAATGTGTTTCTATCAGAACGTTATTCATTTAAATCTTTTGTTATGTCAAAGTTAGATTATTAAGCTGATTTTACAAAGTCAGAATATATTTCAAATGTAAATGCTCCAAAGTCTGGTATATTTATTCCCTTTTTAATTTTTTTTAGATATTTTTTTTTATTTTACTTTTCCTTCTTTCATTTTCTCTAGTATATATTGGCTTGTTGCCTTAAATATTATATGTAGCTAAGATTTAGGTTCTAATGGCCTATATACAGAATTTGTTCTAGGTTGAGAAAATTAATGTTTTCCAGGATAATTTTATGGTTTATTTAGTATCCTTATTTGTTTATTTTTATATTGTTATTTTTATATTTACCAATCAAATATTTAATCTAAATTCATTTTTTTAGTTTTATTTTTATTATGTTATCTTCAATAAATTTTTATTATTTTTATTTATTAAAATAACTGTTTGTTTAACTAATAAAAATTAAAAATTTATTTATATAATTAAATTTTTTCAATTTTTATTATAAAATTGATTATTTTGTATTTTAGATATATGATAGTAATTTAATTATTATTATTATAAAAAAACATTAAATTTAAAATAATTTATTATAATTAGAAGAAATAATTATTAAAATATATTAATAAATAAAGAATACTAAATATATTAATATAATAGTATTATATATTATACTTATTTTATATAAAAATAGAATAAAAATAATTAAAAAAATAGTGAATAATTTCTGTAAAAAAAAGCATAATTAATATAAAATATAATATTTTTGCTAAATATTATATGTTTTATTATTTATTAAATATTTTTACTATTTTGGATAATAATATTTTATTTTTTACATTTTATTAATAAAAATAATTAACTCATTTTTTTTTTCTCAATCATTTTCTTCTATAATAGTATTATATTATAATATTTAAATTCTAGATAATTATATTTTATAAATAAATGTTTTTTATTTTTTAAATATATTTTAATCAAGTTTTTTTGATTTATAAAATTATTCTAATTTGGCTAAATATATAGGCTTATAATAATATACATAAAAATTTATTAAGTCGATTTCATAAATTATTAAGGGAAGAAAAGAGTATTGGGATTAATAAATAAGAGTTTAGATAATTTCAAAATTTATTAAAATAATTTGGAGATATTTTTATTAAATTATATTTATATTTGAAAACTTAAATTTTAAAACAATTCCTTTGTGTTCTCGTTACAATTTTAACTTTAATAAGTTTAAAAATACTTTTGAAATTTTTAATTTATTTGATTTTATATTATTAATTAAATATAATTTTAAAAATAATATAATCCTTTTTTGATAACTTTAACATAAAAATAATTATTACGACATAATCATGTTTTAATTTTTTATTAAAAAAAATTAATTATTTAATTATTTTTTTAAAACACATTATTGTGTAAAAATATCATTTTTATTTTTAAATTTAAATTTATAATTATTAATTTTTCTTCTAAATAATTTTCATTTTTATAATATTATGATAATATATTAAAATCATTATTAGATTTTTTTTTTATATAATTTATAAAGAGTTAGAATCAATTAAGTAAATAAGCAAATGTATTAAAAACTAAAAAGCTATTTCTATTAATATTTATTAACCTATTATTTTAATATGATATTTATATTTACATATTTTTATTAAAAAGTAAATAATATAATAAACTATATTTTACTTAATTTTTATATTGACAAAAGTAATTTTTAAGTTTAAACTTATTTTAAAATTAAATTTTAATTATTTTTTTATATTATAAAACTAAAAAGAAAAATTAAATTTTACCGCGCTTTTTTTTTTTTCGTTATTTAATTATTATTTAAAATGAAATTAGATATTGGAAAAAATTATTTTTTGGATTTTTATTAATAAAAATATATATAAAAGAAAAATAAAAAGGAATTATTTATTCTTTATTATTTTTCAAAAAATATTTTAAATTTTTTAACCAAATTAGTAATTATAAATTAAAAAAGTAATTAAAAAAAGTGAATATAAAAAAATGAGTATTAAAAACTTTTAAACCGAAAATTAAATAATTAAAGAAAATTAATGTCATAATAATAAAAATGAATATTAATTTTAATAAACAGATGAGTAATTATATAAATTTTATAAATTAAATATAAATAATTACAAAATTATTTTAATAGTTAAAACACATAAACTTATATTTTTTAAAAAATATGCATAAATAATAAAAACGAACAAGAAGAAACTTTAAAAAATAAAAAAATAATATAAAAATTGACTTTTTAATAAAAAAACTAAATTGAAATAAACGATAATATTGATAAAAAATGGGTAACAATGGTATTCTCTAATAAAAGCAGTTAAAAATATTTTAAAAACGAATTAATAACAAAAAATTTAATTATACAAATAATTGAAAGTGATGATAATTTTCCCTAAATAATAAAAAAGGAATAAAAAACATTAAATAATGATGAAAATATAAATAATAACTCTTCAAAATAAAAAAAATAATTATAAAAAAAGATAAAAAATCGTTTAATACATTTAAACTAAATTAACAGTATTAGATATGGAAAAAATAATAAGCTTTATAATCTTTTTGAATCAAAGTCTAACAGTTTTACACAAGAACAACAAATAATAGAGAATAACTTATAAATAAACAATATAATTATTTGTAACTGTAAAAAAAGCAAATGCTTAAAATTTTATTGTGACTGTTTTAACTCAGGCTAATATTGTACAAAAGATAGTAATTGTAACTAATGCTGTAATACAGTTGAACATAGTTAATAAATATAATAAAAAATTAATTTTTTAAATGAAAAAAATATTAATGCTTTTAAAATTGATTTTTTATAAAATGAAGAAGTAAATATATAAATATTATTTTTTAAAATGCTCATTTTTTTTTAATAATATAGCTAAAAAATAGTTAATATTTTAATAATTCAAAAGAATCTAATTGTTATAAAAAATATTGTGAATGTTTTAATACAGGAATTAAATGTAATAATTAATGTAGATGCCAAAAAAGCTGTTAAAATTTAGGTTTTTTAAAGAATAATAAAATAAGTTAGTTAAAAAATTAATAGTTATTTGTGTAAAGCTCTTATAATCAATAATAATAAGATTTTGAAAATTTCTATTAAAATCCCTTTTTTAATTAATTTTAATAAGAATATAAAAATATAATGTAAAAATAAATGACTTTTGATACTTATAATGTTTTCAATCTTGAAATATAGTCTTAAAATTAATATATTAATAATGAAAAATATGAATGAATAAATAAATTACTTTAGTTTTTATTTTTTTTAATATATTAAATCTAATAAAAGGGAAATATTTTTATGTAAATAGTATTATAAAACTTATAAAAATATTTATTGAACTTAATTTTGTTAAAAAAAGCATGATTTGTAAATATATTAAAATATTAATATAATCTAAAATTAATTTAATTAATTATTTATTATCTTTTTATTATTTAGTATATAAAGAAAATTATATTAATTTTAAATACGATTAAAATTACATTTTGATAAATTTTTATTGATAATAAAAAATAAAATTTAATATTTAGGCATTAAAAATAGTTTAAAACAGAGAAAAGGTTTAGGTAAATTGAGATTTCTATATATATAAATAAATATTATTTATATAATTATTATTCACTATTTAATTTCTAATGGAATTATTTAATATATTTATAAATATACAATGATTATTTTTAAAATTTAATTAACATAAAAGAATTAAAGTAATCTTGATTAAAAAAATATATATACTGAAAATAAAAATATATATGAAAAAATATAACATGGAAAAAAAAGAAAATTTTTTATATAGTTTAAATATATTAGGATTTAAAGAAATATTTTTATTAAAAATAATAAATTTTTATATTTTTTTAATATAATTTAATCAAAAAAAATAAAATAAAATTTAAAACAATATTTTAATATTAGGAAAAAAATAAATTAAAAATATATAATTAATTAAATTTAATGTAATAAAAAAAGATATATTTAATAATATATCTATTAAGAAAATAAAATCAAATTAAATAAATAAAAAAATAATGTATAAAAAAAAAAAATTAATTTAATTTAATTTAATTTAATTTAATTTAATTTAATTTAATTTAATTTATTATTTAAAAAAATTAAGCATTCAAAATAAATAATTGCGATCAAATAAAACAATATTAATTAATTATAAATAAATATACTTTATCTATTAAATTTAAACGAAAACAAAAAACAAATAATGAAATGATTGATATTTATTTTATTTATAATATTTATTTCAAAAAATTTTCAATTTTTTCTTATTTTTATTTATTTTTTATTTATTTTTGAAAATTATATATATAATATAATATATAATTTTTTTCCATAATATCTTATTTTAGTTTTTTTAATAAAAATATATCAAAAATAAAAAAAGCAATATAATCAATTATATTTTTTTTAAACAAAAATAATTCATTTTATTTTATTAACATAATTTTACAAATATAATTAAGAATACTTTTTATCTAATGTTTCCATCATTGAACTTTATTTTTTTAAATATAAAAAGAATGCACTAATGAAGGAATTAAAATAGCGAACCCATAATATTAATATTTTGATTTAAAAAATGTTTTAAAATTGCTTTATTCATAAATCCTAGCCCAAAATACAGTAAATCCCATCAAAAATAATTATGCTTTTACAACTTTTCCAGATATGTTTCATATATCTACAAATCTTAGGTTCTACTAGTTTTTTTGCTTTTAAAATTAAAAAACTTCCTTTTTATATTTATTATGATTAGTCTAAATGCTATTATAATTAAGTTATTTGTTTTTTTTTATCTTATATTTGGTTTTAATGTATTTAATTCATTTTTATTTGTATATTTTTTTATAATTTATTTTTTATATTTATTAAAATATTTTAATATACATTGTAATAAAATCCTTTCATAAAAATAATATTTTAAATTAAAAATAGGTTATTTGGTAATAATTATTTAATTTGTTCTTTTATTATAAGATTTATTAATTAAAGTCACATTATAACTGTATTTTTTTAGTAAGTCTTAGTTTATATTTAAAATTCTAATTTTAAAAATTAAATATAAATATTAATTTTACCTATAAACTAGATTTTTTAAATAAAAACAAAAAATCATAAAAAAACATTATGGTTGAGTTTAGACCTAGTTTTTTAAACTTTATTGATCTTTATATTCGCCTCCTAAATTATTATGGTTATAATATAATTACTTAATAGATTTTTTGTTTCATTTATATTAATTATTAATTTGATAAAAAAATTTAATTTTTTTTATTAATATATAGGTTTTTATTTCAATAAAAACTCGTTATCTCACATAAAAAATAAAGCCAACCAATAAATTTTATATAAACTTCATATAATTAGATATATAAAAATTCCATGTAAAAAAAAATATTGTTCATAATATATCTAGAAGTGATATGTTTGCTCTTTTCATTAATTATTATTTCTATTTATTAGATATTAAAAATCTAATCCAATTTCATGATTACAAATAATTAAAAAATTATTTAAATTTTGATTTATTTTTTATTATATTGTTTATTTATTCGAAAATTTGTTTAAAATTTAATATTTATTTTTTTATCTATAAATTGCTTTTATATTAGTTACTATTATATATTAATAGTACATATAGTATTTAAATCATGTTTTAATCTTCTTTCTTTTTGAGTTTTTGGGATATTAATTGTTTATTTTATAATGTTATACAATAATATTATATGCTTAAATGTTATATTTTTAAAATAAAGTTTATTTCTTTTTAACTTATTATAATGAAATACAAAAAATTAAAAAATATAAATTTATAATATTAAAGCGTATTTATTATTGTTTTTATAAATTATATAAATTTAAAAAAATATAATATTAATATCTGTAATTTAATAAAATTAAAAATAATTATTAAAATCTAAGGAATAATTTAATAATAAAATTAACTGTAATTTATATAAATATTTATAAATTAAAACCTAATATTATTAAAATATATTACAATATTAAAACTATATATATATATTTAATACTTTAACTATCATTGATTAATGCAAAATATAATTAGCTCATTTGTTATAAGTATTAAAGGTTTTTTTATAATTACTCTGCAATTTTATCTTAAATGATCTTAATTTACATTACATTTAGGCCTTATTTATATTATTATTTTTTTTAAAAAAAATTATGTTTGCATTTTTTTTCATTTTTTTTTTATGAAATAAAAATAAAATATATAATTTAATATTTTTATACTACTAATATATAAAATTTACAACAAAAAATATTAAAAAAATTATTTATTTACAATATAGGAGGGCTTTTTTTTATTTTTGTATATACAAATTATATATATTTTAAATAAAGTTTTATTTTCAAAATCAATTTTTTATTTATTGCGTATACAATAATTAAATTTCCTTTTTATAAAATAAGTTTAAATACGATTTATAAAATAAAATTTAATATATAAATATACTATTTAAATAAAAATAACTTTTTGAATATAAATTTAATATATAAATATATATATTTATAAAAATTATAAAGGCTAAAAAGAAATTAATATCGAATTTCGAAATAACCAAAATTGACCCTTTATCAATAAATAAGTATTTTTAGTATCATAATTCATCTTTTTCATCCAAATACTAAAATGTACCTTTAATTTCTTATTATTAAAATCCATTAGTTTTTTCAAAATTAACTTTTTATTGTATACCATTCCACATTTCCATAAAATCATTTTTAAGAAGTGCATGAATACCAACCGGAATAAGAGTGCAAGGACTTAAATAAAGCAGAGCAGGTTAGGCAGTATTAAAAACTGTTAAACAAATAACACAAATAAGAATCCCAATAATATATCCAGCATAAGAAGTTAAAAAGTAAGTACTATTATTATATTTTTATCTACTGAATTTATAACAGTAAGCCAAAAAAATTCCTGGCAAAGCAATATCCCCCAATCCAATCAAAGAGCAAGTCTATACTGGATAATCGCTTAATTTAGGACAATAAAGCATCATTGGTAAATCTAATTTAGTAGCCACTGCGGCCATAACGGATTAACCGAATATATTTGAGCTTAAAAAGACCCAATAAATATCATAAAGAAAAGCCATAGATAATAAAATGAAGGCAATTTTATATGAAGGAACTCTAATAATTTTAAACATTAAAAATATAATTGAAAAGGCAATCAAATTTGATAAAATCCAATTTTAAGTTAATGCATAAAATAAGATAAGTATAGAAGATATACAACATGATACTATATAATTAAATGATAATATTCCTAAATATTTAAATTCAAAATTTTTCTTTGGCATAAATTATAATTTATCTAAATATTCAGTTATTAATAAAGAAGAAGAAGAAAAGCCTGATATTAATATCAAGATTTTTAATAATTAAGAAAGATAATAATAAAAATAATATAGTATAATGAGGAAAAATGAAGCTTTTTTATTTATATATAAAATAAAATAAATATAATATAATTATACCAGTTAAAACAAATGTAAATGCATGAGTTTTTGATACTTCTTATATTTATTCTTCGTTATCTATTATTATTGGATTTTCTATTTATATAGCTCCTATTCCTGCTATTATTATTGAAACTACCATAAGAATTAATATAGAAATATCATATTTTTATTGTGGATTATTGCATATTTTTAAAAATGAAAAATTCAAATTTTTTTAATGAGTTTCATTAATATATACATTTAGATATATCCTTCCCCATTTAGAATTCGGAAGGCAATTGTATGTTACTATGTATTCTTGTTTTTTTCCTTATTCAATAGTGTTTTGCCTTAAAGTGACATTCATTTACTTATTATCAAAGTCCTTTAATTTTTTTGTTTTCAATATTTTTTTTTATTTTTATTACATTTAAAACTAATTAAATATTTTAACTTGATTCTATAAGTATCTTTCTAAAAGTTTATTGACTTAATTCATATATGGTTGGGGCAGGATGACAAGTTGTTTCTTAATTTTGATTGTAATTCCATGGTTATTGAATTTCACCATCTTATAGAATTGGTAATTTATCCTCGGAGTTGTGGGCTAAAGTGTATATTTTATCTTGTAATAGTACTTGAGTTTTTATAGAGAGTAAATACAAAGAAAGTATTATTATTAAATTAAATTTAATCATATGTTATTTATACTAAATGCTTTTTGAAAATTTGCTATAATTTTTAAAATTTTGAAAAAAAAAAATCTTAAATAAAATAAATTTTAAATTTTAAAAATATTAAATAGTAAGAAATATATATATATATATATATATATATATATATATATATATATATATATATATATATATATAAAATATTATAAATTATGTTTATTTTTTGAGAATATTATATAGTGATAAAATTATTTGACTTTTTTCAAGTAATTAAAAACATCTAAATATTTTTTTTTTTTAAAAAAAATCATCTCATTATATTACTTTATTTATAATTTAATTACAATACACTATTGTTAATTTTCTAACTATTTTTTATTTAAAAACTATTTGTTTCATAATAATTTGATTTATTATTATTAATTATAATGAATTTATGATTATTAATTAAATTCGTATTTTTTATTTCTGATACATTTTTATTAAGAACACTACAAAAATTTGTAAACTGAAAATTTTGACCTATAGAAAATTCATTAGTTTTTTCATCAACTTCATTTGGTTGAGCTTCATTAATAACTTTAAGTAAAAATTATCTTAAAATAAATTGATTTTAATCATAAATTCTAATTAGAATAGTTTCTTAATCATAAAATTCAGGGACTCCTTTCATTTTAAGGGTATTATTTTAAATAGAAAACTTCATCCAATTTGGAAGGGGATTATTTTAATTAGTACCATAAGGTTAATAATTAATTTTGAAATGTTTCCTAATCCACATAATACGAGAAGTTTCTATTTTTTTAAAAGCCTTAACTCCAGAAATTTAATAATCATATAATTGAAAACATTCCCCTCTTTAAAATTAAAATGAATTATGTGATTCATATGCAAGACCAAGTGCATCTATTTTGATTTTATCTATTACTAAACTCATATTTATGCCATTTTGAAAAAAAAATTAGTAGTCAATACTTCTTAAATCAAATTTTAAAATATTTAATGCTTCACATATTTTTTATTCGTTTATCTTTAAATTTTAAAGAGAATAAAAAGGCTATTTTTCCTCATCTAAAGATTGAAAATATAAATATGATTTATACCAATCTAGTTTATTGTATACTTTTAAAAACATTATTGAATAATTTTTAAGATGTTAAAAAATCAAAAAAGAAGGTATGTCTTATTCTATTAAATAATTTATGAATTAAGAATATAAGCATAGATTTAACTTACTTTTTTCATCTAATATTTCTTAATGTTATCGATTATTATAGTATTATAAATAAAATTTTTAAATTTATATTTTAAATTTAAATGGATAATTTAGTTTGCTATTTTATGAAAATTAAAAGAACCATCTTAGTTTATACATTTAGGTGAGAACATATATCTAGAAAAAAAATTTAAACTCTAAAAATCTAATTAAAGCTTAACTTTTAAAGCGCTTTCTAATTATATTATTGTCTTTTTAAAAGTTTTATTTTATTATTATTGCAATATTTTTTTCTAATAATTACTTAAAATATTTATTATTTAATATTATTTTATAAAACTTATTTTTTTTGTAGATAAAAATATTTTTATCATTTATTATTCCTTTTCTTTATATTTCTTGTACAAATTAAATATTAATTTTGCTCTTATATTCAATTCTCCATAAAGAAAAATATTTTTAGAATACAAAGTATTAATATTAACAAATTCCTAAGAATACATAGTTTCTTTTGCAAAATAAGTATTATAAAATTAATTTCTATATCTGTATATTCCAAAAAAACCTAAAATAGTACCACAAATCTATAATAAGAAGTTTAAAATATAAATAAAAGTAACAGAATAGATGTAAATAGTAAATTAATCCTCAGTTTAATAATATCCGTCTGATGCTATAACCTAAACAAGTACTTTTTAATAAAAAAAGGAAGTAGGAGGTTTTCCAGAAAGTTATAATTAATCTTAGTTTAAATGATGAAGCCAATAATCGTTTGTAAGATTTTTCCATTTATTATTTTCGAAATCAAATATCTACACTGTATATTTTAATTAAGGATTATCTTAATCAATAAAAGTTTATGAATCAAATAAAAAATTGATTTCTTCTTATATAGCAATAATCCCATCTTAGAACTTTAAATTAAATTATTCTTATAAAGGCTTGTTTAAATATACATGCTAATTTTATTTAAAAAAAGGAAATAATGAGGCTTTATCTAATACTTTTATAGGATTATTTATTCCATCATTTATTACTATTTCAATTAAAATTTACTCTAAAGATAATTATTTGCATTCTATATAAATTCCTTTATTCAAAACATTATTTAAATCAATAATTCTTCCATTAAAAATTAATTCTGTTTCTAAATCATTTTATGAAAGTACAATATTTTTATATTCTCTTCTCATAAAAATAGCTTCTAAGTTCATGTTTTGGATTTACATAAAAACCTAGGCTTTTTCAGATTTAGTTTATATGTAAGAAAAATTAATATTATTTTTTTAATTTTCTTCAAATATAAATTGTATTGATTTTCTTGTATAAAAAATTATTGGATTGCTATGTATTCCTTATTAAAGAGTTCTTTTTATATAGTTTTTCAAATCTTTATTAATATATGTTTTTTAAACATTAATTTCTATTTCTTCATTAGTATTAAAAAATTGAGTAATTAAATTATTTCCATCTATTATATTGGTTATTTTTAAATAATTATATATTTCTTCACTTTATTCTATACTTGTTAATCCCTCAAATATAAAAGATTTTTTATTAATTGGTATATAAGAATTCACTATTAAAGTATTTAAATTATAATTTTATCCTTTTAAACTTTCTTTTACAATATCTAATGTAATAGTTTAATTAAATTAATGATAAGACATCCAAAAAGGTAAAGGTTTCAACTCGAAATCTTCATAATATTAAATTTATACTATTTATGAATCTGCTTGTGGATAAACTTAAGTAATAATTAATTCAGCCTATTCACCTACTTCGAGAATAATATTATTAAATTTATCATATTCATCATTATTCTGATTAATTTAATTTTTTTCTCTATTTATGTTATTTTTTTTGAACTCTGAATGAATTAGTACACCACTTTTTAAAGGCATAATTCTTAAACCTTTGCTTGAGCCAACAATACTATAAGAAAGATCATCCAAAACACATTAACAAAAGCAATCTTCATTTTTTAGCCACAATTTACTTATTATTTCTGGAACCTTTTTATTTTTTACATTTATTAGATATAAAGACCCTCCATCTGCGTTAGTAGCCATAATATATTCATCATTTTTTATTAAAATTACATTATTTAGCCATCCATCTAGTTTTATTGTTGTAATAATATCTATTTCTGGCAATTATTCAATATTAATTATCCTTAATCCATTGTATCCATCTGCTACAAAAGCATGTTTACCATCTTTAGATAATATTATTCCTTCTCCTCCTTTAGTCCTATTAGAATTTCTTACTATAATTTAAAAAGTTTATTTTTATATTTCAAAACAAACAACTCCATAAAACCTTAAAGATGCTAAAATATATTTATTATCTTATGTAATTATAAGTTCTTCCACTTATCCATTAATATCTTAATTAATAGACCAATAAGAAAGAAATTTAATATTTTATAAATCTAACACATTATATAAAAGAATATAGTTTCCAGCTGCAATACCCAAAAGTTCCTTACTAAAAAAAAAACAATCAGTGTCAGAACTCTTATAATCAAAATCTTTATTATTTGGTGCAGGAAAACGTTAAGCAAATTCAAATTAAAATGGAAATTCTGATATATTATAAATTAAAAATATATTTTATCTATAAGATTAAGGTAAAAAAAACACGTTTTCTTTTACTATAACTTCGTCAATTTATCCTTTATCAGTAATATTTAAAATTATTTACATATTATTAGGATCTTTTGTAATGTCAGCAATATACATTCCAGAATTATCATAGTTTACAACAAAAAAAGTTTTATTTTTTTTCTAAAAAAGATAACATGCCCAAACTCCATAAGTATTTTAATTCATAAAATAATCAGTAAAGTTAGACTAAAATACATTAAATAAATTTGGGTAATCGGCATTTAAATTCGGCTTTTTTTTTTGATAAATTATAAGTCCATCTCCATTCAAAAAATAAAGTCTTTTTTCTTCACTTATTAGTTAAAGAGGTAATGTATTGTACTTATAGCTTTTGTACAAAAATAGGTTCTTTTAAAAAATCTCCTTTTTCTCCATATATATCTAAAATAAGTACTCCTTTAGACCTTAAACCTAAAAAAAGTTTTTTATCTGAAACATTTATTGATTGCAAATAAGGTGAGGAAAATGGCCACCACCGTTTAATAAATGGGATTTCTTGAGGATATGAATCATAAGGTAAAAAATAGCTTAAATTCAGGTCAAAAATATATAGAGCATCCCATCTATCAATAATAAAAGCGAATTTTTCATCTAAAGAAATGCATAAATCCCATACTTCTAAATAGTTTGTAAATGAATAACTTACTTTTGTATAAGATTTTACTAAGCCATTAGTGTCTTTTTCAACTTTTAAAGTAATAAACCCTTAAACTCTATTTGCAACAAAAAGCCAATCTTCATTCTTTGAAAAAACTGCTTTTTTGATTTCTACATTACTCAATGTATAAGAGTAATGAGATTTTATATCCCGTAAATTTTAAATATCTAAGGTATCTAAAATACCTTCTAATCCATAAAAAAATAATAATCTTTCTTAATTTATGCATTTTACTTCATTAATTTCTTTTTGTGTTTTTTAATATATTTATAACAAACTTTAATTTTGCTTTTTATATGAGAATATTAATAATCCTTCATGTGATGCCATAAAGATTAAATTTTCGTTTTTATTTGATGAAATATTTATTATTGATATTTATGTTTATATGCTTTTTTTTATCTCAAATGTTTATTTATCTATTATTTTTATTCCGAATTATCCACAAGCTAAATATATATAGTTTTAAGATGTGTATATTGAAAAAGGTACACAATTTTCTTGTTAAGTTGGTTGAAATTAGAATAATGGAATTGGTGAATATATTTCGATTTGGTTAACAAAGAAATCTGTATATTTTTTTAAAAATTATTGGGTTTAAATTTTAAAAAATAACGATATTAGTACTGCTATTATTAAATTAAAATACATATTTTTAAAAATATATTATTTTTTACGTTAATTTTAAGGTTTTAATAATTTATTTGAAAATAATTTTTCTTGTTTTTTTATTTATAAAATAAAATTATATTTAATTAATTAAAGTAATAAAAAAAGGGATCAACAAAAAAATCCTAAAATAGCTGTTTTTTTGTAAATTAATGAAATTTAACAATAATATTAAAATTAAGTTAAAATTTATATTTTAGGTATAAAAAAAAGGTTATATAACTTCATTATTTAAAAACATTTAACTATTATTAAGAAAAAAAAAAAATTTTGATTAGGATATATTTTAATCACTTCAAATCAATATGGGAATGTTTTAATTAATTAATTATAAATTAAAATATATTATATTTAAAAAAAATCTTATAATTATATATAAAATTCTTTTTGATAAATTTATATTTAAAAATAAATAATATTAAATAATATTGTATCAATTTTAATATAAAATTATTATTTTTTATTAATAATATTATTTATTCAAAATAAAAATCATTAATATTTCTTTGTTTTATGTACCGAACCATTTTTTATTATTATACTTTTTTTAGATTTTTTTATAATTATTAACATTTATTTTAAATTAGAAAATTAAAACATATATTTTTAATCAAAATCTGTATATATTTAGAAAACTCATTCAAAAAAGTTAAATTAATTTAATTATATTCCAATTATGTCATATATCTTTTTATTTCACATAAATTTTTTAGATTTTATTTGTAAATATGATAGATATTGTTTAACTATAAAAATACGAATAATTAATAAATTAATAAAATATATGATTGAACATGAAACATAAATTTAAAGTTTATGAATATTTAATTATAATCATATATTTTTTGTAAATATACATATATCTTAATTATTTTATCCATATTATGTTTAGTTTTTAATATTTTATTTATATTTTATATATTATTATTTTTTATGAGTCTGTATTATACGAATTACTACTTAAAATTTTATTTAGATTGAAAATGAAAAAAATATAATAATATTTTAAATACTTCATTATTATTATATTTTTATATATTAAAAATAAATTTAAAGAATAGATATTAAAAGCATATGTTATTATAAAAAAAAAATTATATTAAAAATAAAAATAAATATACAGAAAATGTTAATTAAAAAAATTGGCAGCTGTGGGATTTGAACCCACGCGGACTACGTCCAGACGATCTTAAGTCGCCCTCCTTAACCACTCGGACAAACTGCCTTAATATTATTATATTTTATAAATGAATAATTTTTTTGAAAGATTATTTTTAATTTTAATGTTTATTTTACCGAATTTAAAAAGAAAATATAAATTTATTTATTTATTTATTTTGTTTTTTTTTTTTTTTCAATAAATTTTTATTTTATTTTATAAGATATATAATTAATTAATTTAATAAATATATATATTATTTTAAATAAATATAATATATTATTTAATTAATTTTTTTTTTCGATATATTATTTTATTATATTATTTCTCTTTAATTATTTTTTGTATTTAAATTACTTTTTTATAAATATTATTTATATTTTATTTAATATTATTTATAATTTATTTGAAAATAATTGTATTATATTTATTTCATTAAGCTTATTTTACCGGATAATTATAAATTATAAAAAATATATATATATATATATATATATATATATATACAAATTAAAAAATGTTAATAAAGCAAGTTTAAAGATAGAGAACTATAAACGAAAATAAATTATTACAAAAACTTAAGATACATAAAAAGAAATCATAAATTATTATTTAACTAACTGTTTTTTTAATTTTTTGATATATTTATAGTTTATTAAAATGCATTATTTGCCATTTCAAAGTTATTTTCACTATTTTCCTCATTTTTGATTATTGTACTTCTTTTAGTAAGACTATTAATGCCAGATATAAAACCAGCTGGAGGTTTTTAAGAAGTTAACCCCAATTTCGATTTATTTTGGGCCTAAATAAGAATTTAAGCATATTTTTATTCCAAAAGAGCTATTTTCTAAGTAAGTTCTTAATTTTATTAATCTGCTAAAGCTTCTCTTTAAATTAATTCATATTGAAGATTTTATAATTATTCTTCTTTTTTATTGGCTTCTTCTTCTCTTTATTTTAAACAGCTTAATTTTCTCTAAGCCTTTTCTCCCTTAACCTTAAAGAATTTAAGGTAAATTTAATAAATCATCTTCTGAGGGTCTATTTTAGGATTATTTTTACAAGCACCAACTAATAACACGCATTAACTCATCACTATATTTATTATTTAACCTTTCAAACTTTCCATTTTTTATCTTCATTGCTAGAGCAAGATGATTTGAAGCAGGAAAAGGAGGTATTAAAGCCGCTAATTCATACAAAAGACATCCTTTTATTTTTTATGATGAATTTTTTAAAATAATATTATATTTTACCACATGCCCAAATATCAGATTTTTCATTATATTTGTTTTCTTCTATTTATTCTGGTGACATGTAATAAGGAGTTCCCACATTTGTGTATGCGAAATTAGTTTAATCTGATAGCTTTTTAGAAAGACCAAAATACACCTAATTTAACATTATTTTTGGCATCCAAAAATACATTTGCAGGTTTAATATCTCTGTGCATTATTTTTTTATGATGAATATCATGTAAAGCTAGTATTATTTACATAAATATCTTCCATATTGCTTCTTCAGGTATTAGTTCTTTTTCTTTCTTTATTTTTTTTAAAAATGCACTCAAATCACCTCCTTCGCAATATTCCATTATTATATATATATTCTAATTTTGTTTATCGATTATTCGATCGTAATATCTTACAATATTTGGATGACGTACTTCTCTTAGGATATTTACTTCAGCAACTAGTTGACTTTTTTCCTTTTCATCCATCTTTCCATATTCCAATTGTTTCCATACTAATATTTATTATCTTATTTTCTTCTTATTTTAGTTACTTTTCCAAATTAACCATTACTTATTTCTTGGATTACTTCATATTAATCCATTTTTTATTATTTTTGAAATTTTAACTTTTTTTTTTTATGTTTATTTTAGAAATAATTTCTTTTTATACTTTTTAAATATTAATAAATTTATTGATCATATCATTTATTTAAATTAAATATAATAATAAAAAAATATAAAAACAGACAATTATATAATTTATTATTTTATTATTTTTTTTTATTACAGAAATAATATTTAAATTCATAAAGTCTCTAAATTTTATTAGTTTAAAAGATATATTAATAAAAACTTAAATACTTAGAATTAGATATTTAAATTGAATCAATTAATATACAAAGTAGTAATATATTCACAAAAATATTTTTTGAATTAAATTGTGTTAAATGTATTTGTTAAATACTATGAATTAAATTTATAAAATAAAATTAAAATTTTATAAACTATAATAAATATTAATGAAATAATTTTACTATTGATTATGAAAAATTTGAAAAAAAAATATATATATTATTAGTATTTATATTCTTAAAAAATAATTCGTAAAATTAAAATTTATTAAAATAAAATAAATAAAGGAAATAATAGTTTTTAAAAAAATTTACTAAAATTTTTTTTAATCAAATTATTATTGAAATTTTAAAGTTAAAAATAAAATAAAAAATTAATACACTAAAACATAATATGAATTTTTTTAGAAATTATGAATTTCTTAAAACTATTTCATGATTTTATTGCTTGGTAGCTATTTGTAAACATACATTATTAACAAACAATTACTTTAATTAATATAATAATTATAGAAAAAAAAAAAATATATTAGATTTTTATATAAATTTTATAGATTAATATTAAAATATAAATGATATTGATTAAATTTATAATACTTAATATTAAATATATTTTTTGTAATTATTTCACAACTAGAAAACAAAAAAAAATATTTGTATAAAATTAAAAAAAATCATTTATGTATTTAATTTTTTTATTTATTAATAAATAAAATAAAAAACAAAAAATTAATAATGAGCGATTGTCATATTTATTCATAAAATAAATCTTTTATAGTTTATTTAGATTAAAATGGTAACTTTGAAAATCGTAAAGAAAAGATATACAGTATTCATGCAAACGAAAAACTAACAATAGTATTAGATTCCAAAAAATTATAAAAATATCGTCCACTATTATTAACAAACTATCCGTAATATAATGCACGCAAAAAGGCCTATAAACGTCCATTAGCCCCTGAAATAACTTCATAATCTAATTTGACATTTTCTACAAGTGAAATAAATAAAAAATATACAATTTTCGAAGGATTTTATAATATAGACGGATAATGGTAGGCTGATTTATATATATTAGATTTTGATGGTTCATTATTTTTATAAGTTATATTTATATAGTAGTAATAATCAATAAAAAATAAAACATAAAATAATGAAATAATAAAAGAAGGTTAAATAGAAGAAGAATTAACTAAAAGTAATATAGATGAAGAAATCGAAATTATGGATTTTGGAGCAGCTGAATGGCTTATAATATAGCCAAGAATAACTATAAATTAAAAACCTATTAATATGGATGAATTAGTAATCTAAACTGTTTTACCCTACAGTCTTGGTGATGTAGAAAATTGGGTCGAAGTTTTAAAAAATCAAACACTTTTGGGATATAATGGCTTCCATTTTCCACCTATTTAATAATTAGGAGCTAGTGGATCTTATTATTCTATAAATGAATAATTATAAGTTAATATTGAAATATTTAAATAATATGCTAACATGGAGGATGGAGGATTTTAAAAAATGAAAGAAATAGTAAATACAATGGAAAAGGAACATAATGCAATATGTATTGTAGATATTTTACTTAATCACACTTCTTTTGATAGTGAGTGGCTACTTTAGGTTGAAAATGGAGTTTATAATGTTGAAAATACTCCTAGCTTGTAATCTGCTTTAGATTTAGATCTTGCAATTAAGGCTTTTAGTGAGAACTTGGCTGCAGGAAATGAGAAAGAATACTATAATGGAAGCAATAGAGTAGAAAATGAAGAAATGGTGGATTGCTTAATGAATATAATGAAAAAAAAATATTCTATGCCTTGAAATTGGAAGAATATTTCATTTATGATGAAGTTAAAATCCTAGAAAAATTTTAAGAGATACTAAAGGAAAATTGTATAAAAATTGTCGAAAAAGAAGAAGAAGCAGATGAAGGTGAAAACATATTTTCAAGATCGGTTTTTGATATTTTAAGCGACTTTATAAGAAAGCGAACTCACCGAAAAGGAGCAAAAAGAAATGGGCTTATAATAAATTTAAAAAATCTAGTATCTGAACATATTGCTAAAAAACCCAAGCTTTATTCTGTTTAGGCTTTCAAAAGGGCAATAAAACATTATAATAATTAATAGATAAATTAAGTAAAAGAATATATTGATGAAGCTATAAAATATACAAGGATTCATATTATTGAAAATCGATTAAAAACATAAAAATTTGAAATTACTCTTGAAAATCCATTAGTACCTCCTTACTTTACAAAATTATCGAATGGAACTTATGCAGCGAATAATGGTTGGATTAGAGAACCTGATCCTATGAAGAATTAGCTGATAATGGAGAATTTCATTATTAAGAAGAACAATTAATGTTTGGGCTGATTTAGTAAAACTTAGATTCGGAAATAAAAAATAAGACGCTCCTTTTTTGTGGATGAAAATGAAGAAATACGTCCAAAAAATGGCATAAATTTTTCCATGGCTTCCGAATGGATAGTGCCCATTCTACTCCTTTACATGTAGGTGAATACATAATGAGAAAAGCGCGAAATCATAATAAAAATCTTGTTATTTTTGTCGAGTTATTTACTGGAAATGTAGAAAGAGATGTCATATATTACAAACGAATGGGATCGAATGCAGTCATTAGAGAAAGTGCTGGCATAAGAGATACATTTTCTTTATACTAACATTTATAAGTACTTTCAAGAACTGAAGAAACAAATCCGGCTTCATTAGATTTTCTTTATGAAACAGACTTATAAACTAATGAAAAAAAATAAGTTCTTGTTTCTAGATCTTTAAAATCTATTATTTATGATTAATCTCATTATAATGAACCTATTTTATCCTAAATTTCAATTCCTTAATCTCTTTCTTTAATTGCTTTAAATTCTTTTAGTCATATAATTTAAGGAACAACAAGAGGATATGATGATTTGTTTCCTTAAAAAGTAAAAATAGTAAAAGAACGAAGACTTTATTTACCAAAACCTGAAATAAAGTGTGAAGAAATTTAATATTCAGAAATCGAAGTTGGCTTTATTGTAAAGTATTCTTGTTAATTTTACGAAGGTTTCGTTATGGGAAGTTGGGACAATTGGTAAAAGGGAATCCCCTTACAACATATAGGTTCTGATGAATATGTAGCTAGAGTTTTATTATAATAAATTAATTATGAATATGAATATAAATTTGTTATAAATGGTGAATGGTTATCAGATTATCGAAAAGAAACTAAAAATGGAAATAATTTCTTTTTCTTATAACAAATTCCAAAGAAAATTCGATAATATTCTAATTTATGTATAATAAGGAAAAAATTTTTATCTTTTAATTAATTTTTAAATTCTTCTTAAAATCCTTATCCTTTTATTTTTTACAAACATTTTCCTTATGATTTTATTACAATTAAAAGGTAAAATACGAATAAAACTGAATTTTATTTCCTTGTTTGTAGAACAGCATTTTCTCAATAGTCGCCTTAAGTAAATGTTGAAATATAATGTTCAGGCATTATTCAAAATGTGGAAGGAATTTTTCTTATTCCTTCTTGGACCTCAGTTTAAAATTTTTAAGATGATCTTGAGTATTTGAAAGGCTTAGAATGTCTTGCTCTAGAAGAAGATAATATTTATAAATATGCAGAAGTTAGACTTACAGATGATAAAAAAAAATCCGTTTTGCACTTTTATAATGCTCCTTAATCTCTTTGTGTCATATTGAAGTGTTCTCTTAGAGAAGAACAACAATAGGCTATCAAATAATTAAATACTTTGTATGAGAATATGTGTGAAAATTAAACTTGTGTACAAAATTTAAAAAGCTTAAAAGCTCAAGACATAAACTTTTTGCTATACTCTATTGAATAAGAAGAAAAAATGGTTACAGGAGAATCCTTATATCAAATTCCAGGCTAAGGAAGCCTTTTCTTTGCTGGATTCGGAGGAATTCTTCCTTAAGTACATTAAGCAAGCCTATATAATGATTTACAAAAGCCTTTTATAAAGCATTTATTTGATGGTACTTGGTATCTGGATTATTAGGTGAGAAGATTAAGGAAGTATGGAGGATAAAATTTGTAAAATTTAGTGAATTTCATAAGCGAATATTTTGAGTTAATTAAAACAATTCCAAAGATATTAATTCCACATTACTTTTGTAAATTTCTTCTTATTTTAATAAGGGATTTATGGGTATAAATATCTTCATAATTGTAAGGAAAAGCTTCCAAAATGACTAGAAATTTCCATTTTTCCCTTTTTTTGGCGAACTTTTAATTTTTATCAAATACTATTTCTTAAAAATTAAATTCTCCTTTTTCTTAATAAATATAAATAACTGTTGGATTACCTTAATTAGCATTTAAATGTAATTCTAGATAAGCTTTTATATGTTTAAAGGGTTCTTTCTTAATTCCTAAATTATATGATGATGCTAAAGCATTAATTTTGACTTTTGCCTAAACTATAAAACATGGATTGATAGCAAACTAACTAGATTCTATTGAAAATTTACGTTATAACTCAAGAGATGCTTGCTGGTGGTTTATAAAAGCGATCAGTGATTATATTTTGTTTACTAAAGACTACTCTATTTTAAAGGAAAAAGTTTATATACTATTCTTATCTGATGATATCCTTGAAGACAGGAAATTTAAACAATAAAAGTAATAAAAAATACTTCCTTTATAAGATATAATCCATTAAATATTCTAAAAGCATGCAAAAGGCATCAAATTTAGAGAATGGAGAGCTGGATTCGAACTTGATTCTGCACTGCTTACTGAAGGCTTTAACATTGAACTTAAACTTTGTGAAACTACTGGTTTTATTATTGGGGGTAATAATAAAAATGCTCTTACTTGGATGAATAAAATTGGATCGTCTTAAAAAGCTGGAAATAAAGGTTTTCCTGCTTGTTGTAGGTAATTTTTATTATTTTAATTTTATTTAATTTTCTTAGAGATGGGGCTCCTATAGAATGTACTGCATTATTAAAAAGAGCTTTAAAATTTGCAATAAATTGCAAATATTACCCTTATACAGAAGTAGAAACACATTCAGGAAGAAAGCTAAGCTTCAAATAATGGAGCTAATTAATAAAGGCTAATTTCGAAAAGCATTATTGGATACCAATAAATCCTAACCTTAATGCAGATGATAGCAGCTAATGTACTAAATTTATTACAAAAAGAAGTATTTACAAAGATACATGCTTTTCTAAAATTCCAAGGTAAGAATATTTATTAAGACCAAATGGATGTATTTCTATTTGTTTAGCTCCAGAACTTTTCGTTAAATAAAATGCTTTGCTCTATTTAGCGAATGTGGAAGCTTATTTAATGGGAAAAAATAGTATTGGATTATAAACTTTAGATAAGGATGCTCCTGAATATGTTCCAGATTTCGATTTGGATGATAATAGTAATTAACCAAAAACTTCTTAGGGATTTAGCTAGCATAATGGACCAGTTTTTTTTTTTTTTATATCTAAAATTGTAATCAAAAATTAAAAATAGGAATATGTTTGGCTTTTTGGTTATTTTTTAAAAAGTTTAATTAAGCTTTATAAGAAATAATATATAAAAAATGAAAAAATAATGAGCTATCTTGCATATCATAAAGAAATGTTGAAATAAAGCTCAATATTATCACTGCCTGAAGTTACTAAATAAAATGGAGAATTCTGTGCTTCTTCTTGCTAAAGTTACTCTTAATCAATTGCCCTTTTAATCGAAATTTCCTACGATTGTATTACTGTTAAAAAATGAAAATAATAATTTATATATATTATGTTTATTTATTATTGTATAATGTTTAGTTAATTATGATAAAAATTTAAATTTAAATTCTTTTTAAATAAAAAATTTAATATTTGAGCACTTTTAAGTTTATTTTATTTTCAATAGTTATCTATGTTTATAAAAAATTATTTTTATATATTTAAATAGTATGTAATAATGTAAATTAATGCATATAATTATTATTTTTAAAAATATAATATAATATTTTAAAATCTTATTTATAAAATATTAAAAAATTACAATATATAATATAGGCAATTTCTAAATTTTATAAATTCTTAGTTTAGAATTTTACGATTTATACAATATTTTTATTTTTAAATTATAATTAAAATAAAATTTAAATATTCTCAAAATAATTTATATAATATTCTAAAAATAATGCAATTCTTAGGAATTTTAATATAATAAAATAAATATATTTCTTATTTTTATTAATAAATTTAAAATTATATAAATAAATTTATGATATATATATATATATATATATATTTTTAAATGTCTTTAATTAATTTTAATATATTTAATAACAAATAAATTAATATCTATTAATATCATAATTATATAAAAAAATGGTAAGAAAAAATAAAAAGTCAAACTCTTCAAATAATTCAAAAGAAAAAATAAAAATAGAAGAAAATTTATAATCTTAAAATAATAATAATAATTAAATTCAAATCAGGTATTTTATACATAAATAATTAAATATTAAAATATAAAATATAAAACATAAGAATTAAAGAGTAATCTGAAATTCAAAAGGTTTAAAATTACAATTAATAGTAAATTTATAAATACATTAAATATATAAATATAAGTTTTTTATTTAAAATTATAACAAAATATTACAAAATTAGTTATTCACCATATATATAAAGAATAAAATATCATAATACTCAAGTAATTAAATATAGATATTTTAGATAACATATCCTTTAAAATTTATTTTATATTATTAATTAGAATTAAGACGCTAGCTTTTATTCATATGAATATTTAGGAAAATAATAATAACTTAATTCAGTGTAATTTTAATTATTTAAAAAAATATAAAAAATGCATTAATATTATTTAAATAATTTAAAAAAAAATACAAGAGATTTAAGTTTCTATAGTAAATCTGATTATATTAAATGCATTTCTAAAAGTTGCGATAATTATACAAAATAAAATTAGAATAATTATTAACTTTAATATGAATAAAATATAAACATAAAAAAATAAACAAATATAAACAATAATATGATAATAAATAAAGAATAAATGTGTTTCAATGAATTAAAATAGAGTAATTTTAAATTTATATAATCTAATATGCAAAATTTATGTATTGAATAATGATTAATTTATATATTTTATTAAAAAAAGATATAAAAATCGATAATGTGAAATTAAATTAAAATAGCCAAAATTAGAATTAAAATAATAATTTAGATTTATATTGTAAATATAAAATAAAAAAAATACAAAAATTAATTAAAACAAAAGTTTAACTTAGCTTATAAGAGTTTTTAAATAAAATATATTTTGAAGAATTTAATTTAAACGAAAATGAGATGAAATAAATATGTATGTATGTATTTAAAAGTATTAAAAATATAAATCATATTTATCAAGCATTAAAGTAATAGATCATTTTAAGTTGCGAAGTAATAATAATTTTTAAAATAAATAAAATAAAATATAAAAAAGTGTATTAAATATAAGGTTTGTCAAAAATTAAAATAAATTAAGTAAAAAATATATGAAATTGAAAATAAACATTAATCAATAAACTATATTGTGAATAATTATTTTCCTTAAAATCCTTAAGTATTTATTAATATGATTAATTCAATTTATTAATGCTATGAAAAAATGAAAACTTATAGTATTTATACAAATATATTGATTTAATTATATAAAGAAATTTTCGGAAAATATTAGAAAGAAGTAAAATGTATATAATATATTAATAATTATATTTAATAAAAATATAGAACTATTTTAATTCAAAAGATGAACATATAAATAGTTTCATATAAATAATTTTTGGAGACGATTAAATATTTGAGTTTGTGAAAAACGCAATTTACTAAATTTCAATAACTAATCATTATATAGAAAATAAGCATATGATTAAATTATTTATAACATTTCTAAATTTCAAAAGATAAATGAAATTATACGAAACAGATTAATGGAATGTATATTTAGTAGATAGTGATTAAGATTTAGAAGTTGAGGAAGAAATTTTCGAAGAAGATTTTTAAAATTCATAGAATTACGAAGAAAAAAGTTAGATTATAAACAATCATTATTAAAAAATTAAAATGAGTTGCAATCAGTAGATTAGTAATAAGCTTTTAAAAAAAAGATAAAAAAGGATAACTTAAAAAAAATAAAAAACTTTATTGAAAGATTAGTTTTAATAAAATAACTAATAAGATAAATAGATATCTGTTTAGAATTAAAATGAAAATTAAGAAAATCTTAATTAAAAAACTTAAAATAAAAATAATTAGAAAAAAAAGAAGAAAAAAGCAAATAATTTGTATTAAAAAGAACCTGATAACTCTCAAAATAAAAGTCAAAAAGATATTAAAGAAGATAGTGTTAGTTAAGAATTTTAAAAAGAAAAAATAGAATTCTTAGTAAGATTTTAATTTAATTGAGTTAGAAAATTTTATTAAAAGATTAAATGAATAAGATAAACATTTAAACTAATATCAAAAAATTTAACCTAAAATTTCATAAATATGGATTAGTTAACTTAAATAAAAATATGCGAAACACAAATTATAAATTACATGATTTTTTTCTTTTCTTTTCTTTCTTTTTTTCTTTTATGTTCTATTTAAATAAATAAAATAATTATTTTATGTAAATAACTGTATGATATTATCAAATTTGTAATAAATATTTAATTAAAATTTTTACAATCATTTAATATTAATTCAATTTTTTTTATTTTTTTTTTATAATAAAATATTGATTTTTTTTTATTATGCAAAAAATCTAATTAAAATAAAATACTTAAATAATCCTTTATGATTGATTATATTCAAAAAAAAAAAAAAATGTTTTTAATCATAAAATGCCTATTATTTACGTTATGAAAGCTACATCAAACTTTTATAATTGAATTAAAGAAAACATATTTTTGTTTTTATTTAATTTTAGAATTTTTTCAAATTGTATTTACAATATTAATTTCAAAAAATAAAATAAGTAAAGTCATTATTGTAATAATTTGATGTTATTCTTTGATTTTAAACCTTTCTAATTAAATTAATTAAAATAATTTCTTATTAGATATACTTTGGTAAATTTGAACATTTTAAAACAATTTTTAATTAAAATATTTTTGTTATAAAAAATACTTTTTTAAAAATTTACAGAATTAATATTAAAATTTATTTAATTATTTTCATATATATATAGTGTTTTAAAAAAATTAGTATTTTTATTTGCTTAGAATTTAATTAATAAATTTAACAAAATGCTAATTATTTTAATGTATCTTTAATTTAATATAAATTTATAAACGTAAAAAACGAAAATCGTAAATTGGAAAATGCAAACAAAAGAGGCTTATAAACAAAAATTAAAATAAAAATAAAATGGGTTGTTATAATTTTAAAAATTCTCAAGTTTAAATTTAAGAAAAAGATTAATATCCAGTAGACTAGAATGACTAAATATAGTAGAATAAATCATTAATAGATAAATAATAAATTACTACTGAAAAATAGTTTTCTTAAACTTAATAAAATATTAACTCCCCGAAAATAAATTTTGCAGTTCCTATTTAAGAAAACCCCTATCTTAAATTAAATGAAAAAATAAAATAAATATTACTAGATTTAGGTCCTTTTAATTATAACAATTATAAATAATTTGAAGAAAAAGAATTTTTAAATAATGATGATGATTAAAAACTACAATGGTTTAAATTAATTGATAATTCTTTCTATTTAGGATAATGGAAAGTTGGGAAAAGACATGGAAAAGGACTTATTATTTGGAATAATGAATCATTTTTCGAAGGATTTTGGAAAAACGATAAAATATATGGTATTGGAAGATTAATTACATTTAAATAGGATAGTAAATTTTTATATAAAATAAGTTTTTTTATTTATTAAATAAGTATATGAAGGTGAGTTTTTAGATTAAACTTAAGTTGAAAACATTGAAAAGTTCATTAGTGAATTGGATTTTAATAATCAAGACTAAAAATAATAAAATATTTATAATTTAAAAAATGATCTTTATTTTTTTCATGGTTAAGGTATGCTTACACATAAAGATGGGTCAATTTATTAAGGTAATTGGAAATATAATTAAATGGAAGGATTTGGTACATATTAATGGCCTGGTATTTTTATATATTACATCGTTTTAGGAATTCTAAATGATAAAATTTTAATGTTGTTTTTTAAAAGTATTTTAAAAATATAAAAATTAAATCGAATTCCATTAATAAAATTTTATATTTTTAAATCCCTTCGTTATCATATAATTATGAAATTTGTTTAGTTATATAAAAAAAATATTGACAAATTCCAAAAAACAATATAAAAATTGAGTTATTAAAATTCCTAAACTATATTAATTAATAAATTACATATATATAAAATTGAAATTTAATTTATTAATCAAAGATGGTAGAGTCTATATAGGAGAATTTATTAAGAATAAAAAATAAGGAGAAGGAAAATTTCAATGGCCAAGCGGCAGAATATATAAAGGATAATGGTTAGATGGAAAATAAGTTATTTTTTATATTAACTATTTTAATATTAATATTAAAAATTAAAAGAACGGTTATGGAGTATATATTAACTTTAAAAAATAAAAAAAACTCGGTCTTTGGAAAAATGGAATGCTTGTTGAATGGATAAAATAAAATTATTAAGATTTTCAAATTAAAACTGAAAATATTATTGTAGTTTAAAAAAATATAAATTAAAAATTTAATACATTGAATCATATATGATTATATATAAAATTTAATAATAAATATATTATAATGAATAAATATTTATTATTTTGTTTAAAAAAAAAAAAAAATTAAATAATTTAAAACATATTTTTATTGTAAATATAGTTTTTTCACTTTTTCGATTATTCATTTTCCAGTTAAAATTTATACAAGTTTATCTTTATCTAAATTCTCTTTAATTGAGCTTACTATATCTTTAGCTATTTTTATATTGTTTGCTTAGTTTTTATCTTCTCTAATTCTATCATATACCCAACATTATTTATATTATTGAGTTTTATAACTTGTTTTTTATTAAGAAACCCATAATCTTACGTTCTCTTTTTTATAATCGCTTTTATATTCTGGACATCTCATTAATTTATCTGTACTTTCCTTATATATAATTTCTAATAACTTTTATTATTATATGTTCGCATTTGCCCATTTGCATTCTGCTACTATTCCTTTTGCTCCCTCTTTTTTTGTTAATAGTTCTCTTATATGATTATAAAACTTTTTTTCAGTTATCATAAAATCAAAAAAAATAATTTCATATTAATCTCTTTCTTAAACATGTTCCATAACATATAAATCAAGAACCTTCCCTTCCAATTCTTCTTCATAATCATTAAACTCGTCTAAAATGCTATCAGTATTTGGAACTAATAAGAAGTCAATAGTATTCATTGAAGGCGGCTTCCATTTTATTATGTTTTCATCAGTTCCGGGTTTATATGCTGATAAATTTTTAGTAAATACTAATCCGTCATTACTATGAGGAAGTGTAGGAATATATTGATCAAACATAAATTAAACATATTTATATTTATAAAAATCTTTAACACATAAAAATATGTAATTCACTATTTATTCGTCTAATATTAGATTATCTTCATCATCGATATTCATTTCTGAATTATTTTCTGTTTATTGTTATTAAATATTAAAGTTATATTTAGAGGGTTAAGGTATTTATTGTCCAATTATTTCAAAGAACATATTATTATAATCTAAAAAATATAAGGCATCTGTTAAACGCTAAATATAAGGATTGTTATTTATTTTTTATCCAAAATGAAGAATACAATCAAAAATTAAATATTTTAAGTAAAAATCTTCACCGTGTTGATCCATTATTAACTCTCCGTCAAATATTTCAATTATTTCTATAGATTTGTCTTATTTGTTTGAAAAAATTTTGCTTTATAATTAAATATTTGTTTTATGTAACTTGTATTATTTATTTTATCCTGTATTTCTTCCTGTCAAATAGCTATTACCTTTATTTGTTATTATCATCATATATCGAACTCCATCAGTTTTTTCACTCATTAGGAAATTTGTTTCTGATTTATTATCTTTTATTTTATTATTTATATCATTTATTCGTAGTGATATTGGTTATGCGCCTAAAAAATCTATTTTAGAGAAATTATTTTTTTAAAATCCGTTTTATACAGATTATTATTAAAGCATTTCATTTTTATAATCATTTAAAAATTTCTATATTTCTTTATTTTCAGGATCATTCTAATCTAATAATTATCCAGGATTTTGTAATATTGATTAAATTTAACTTTCCATATTTAATATAAAATTTTTAAATAAAATATGTTTATTATATATTTTTTTCTAAATGAAAATATATTTTTTTATTTGTCTCTAAAATAATATTATTATATAATTTACTATAAAAAATAATTAAATATAAAAATATGGATTTATATATCTAATTCTTTTAATAAGATAAATATAATATTATATTTTATCTATTTTATATTCTATTGATATTTTTACTAAAAATAGTTTGTTAAAAAGACAATTCAGATAAATATATAATATATATAATTGGTATTACTATTGTTAATTTAATTTAGTATTAAAAATATTGTTTTAATAAAATTCTATAAAAAAAGTTATTTTTTAAATTTTTATAAGATTATTTATTATGTTTTATTTTGATAATTAAAAGAAAAATTATTAAAGTTAAATAAATAGAAAATAAAAATTAAAAATAAAATAAAATAAAAAATATAAAATATAAATTAATTCATTGATATTAAAAAGTATAATATTAAATTATTATTATAAAAAAATATATAAATTTATAATTATATATATAAAAAAATATATATTAAAAAAATATAAAAATATATATTTTTCAAATAAAAGTAATGAATATAAGTTAAAATTATAATTAAGTTCTAAAAATAAAAGATAATTGTGAATATTAAAAACTAATAAAATATATTATTATTGATATAAAAAAAATAAATAATATATATAAAATATACGTAAAATAATAAATTAATATAAGAAATTTAAATACTAAAAATATAAAAAAAAGATTTATTAATAAAAAAAAAAAATTATATACAAATTATAATATATAAAATATAAATAAAAAAAGTATATAGATTTAAAAAAATATATCTATAGTAATAAAAATATATATTTTAAAGAAAAGAAAAGAAGAATAAATAAATGTAATAATTTTTTTTATATTATTATTAAATTATTAAAAATATATAAATATAAATATATATATATATATATATATATATTATATATACATTTTATTTTATATTATATTATATAAATTATATTGTAATTAATAATATTTTAATATGTATTTTTTTTTTTTTATATTGTATTAAAGATTTAAAAATATATATTATATACTATTTTTTATTTTATTTTAATTTTTTTATTTGAAATATATATTTTTATTTTTAGTTTTTTTATTAATATAATTTTTTTTATTTTATTTTTTAAAATAATTTTTTTTTTCTTAAATAAATATCTTTTTATTTTTATATTATATATTTATGATATTTTTATATAATTTTAACATATTTTATATGTTTTTAAATAGAATTGATATTTATTTTTAACGGTTATTTATTTTTTATTATTTTTTAATTAATTAATATTGATTTTTTTTTTTATATATTAAACAAAATTACTATATTTTTTTTAAAAAAAATTTAATAATTTAATTTTACTTAATTTTTTTTTTTCTATGATTTTCTTTTTTAGATTTAAATTAATAGCAATTAAACATAAATATTATTATTCATCGTTATAATTTAATATTTTCATAATTAATAATAACTGAATAAATTTAATTTATATTAATTAATATCAATATTAATTTTAATTTATAATTATTAATCAATTTATTACTAATTTTTATTATTTTATCTTTTTTTTGTTTTATTGTTGATAACACTGCTGTCCCCTTTTATATTTTTTCTATTTATTTTACTTTAAATATAAATTTTAGTGCATTTAATTTATATTTTTAATATATTCTATAATTATATATTTTTTATCAATTTGATTGTAACAATTTTTTAACAAATTTTTCAAATTTTTCTATTTTTTTTTCATTCATTATATAAAAATGATTTACTTTATTATTTTCTTATAATTTATTAAGATTAACTTATTTATTAATAGAATCAATGATTTTAGTATATTAATTTTTTAAAACTATGCCATATGATATTAGTTTTTCATCCTTTTATAATTAATTTTTAGTTTATCTAAAATAATTTATGTAAATTATGTTTAGCCTAAAAATTTGCATAAGTTAATAAATAAATATTAAAAAATAATATATATTATGACAATATAAAAACCTATTTATTAATATTTTGAATAATAGGAACTTTGCTATGTTAAATTACGACTTTTTACAAATTTATTTAACAATATTTATAACTTAAAAAAACTAATATTAAATATAAAATAATTTATTATTCATTGAAATACAAAATTTTTGATAAATAAATATAGTGTTATAAAAATTTTATATTAAATATAAAAATCGCTTTAGCAGTAATTTTATTTTTAATACTAACATTAAATAAATGAAATATTTATTATCTTTACTTTATATTGAAATAAATTAGTATTGGTCATTAAAAAAGACTATGGCAATTAATATTTTATCGTTTTTTCACCATTTATATGCTATTTAAATATGATTGATTTTATTTAAATCTAAATATATCACAGTGGATTACTAATATTTTGAAGTTTACTTTAAATTTAATTGGAATAGTTTAAAAATATTAAAATATGCATTTTATTAAATAAATAAAATTTATATATATAGTATATATTTAACATTTTTATATATATACAGTTATTTAATTAAAAATAAATACTTATTAATTTGAAACTAATTTCAATTTAAATATATCATTTAAAAATATTAAATCTATACTTTCATAAAGAATAATATCATTATTAAAAAAATTCACAAAACTTGAAATTAAAAAAAATGTAACATCAATAGCAAACTACATTTTTAAGCAAAGAAAATCAAATAAAAAATGAGCCTAATTTTCAAAGGCAATAAAGTCCTATCAAATCAAATATACAAAGCAAAGAAAACGATGAAAATAGTTCTAAACCTTTTATTGTTACTGGCTAAAAAAAATTAAATTAATCTTAAATATAATGTCTTACTAATTTAAACCCGATAGAAGTTTTTCCATCAGAAATTCATTTCAAAAATATATAAATCAACTAAACATATGAAGTAATTTTAAAGGTAAGAAATCTAACAAAAAAAGTTAGAAGAATTCGCGTATTTTAACCTACAACACCGTATTTTAAAGCTGATTACGATCTTTAAGGCCCTCTTACAGCTGGATTAGCAATTAAAATAACTATTACTTTTGAAACTACTCCTCCAGGCAATTATATAGACACCTTAAAAATAGTAAGTGAAGAGGGTTTTTGTAAAGAAATTCCTTTGTATGCAAATATGCCTTAAGCATAATTAATTTTTGAACCATTTATAAATTTAGGTATATATTATTTAAATAAAAAAGTAATTATAATAATAAAAAAAGGTTTTGTAAAAGTACAAGAAAAAAAAAAAGATAAAATATACTTCAAAAATGAAGGAAGTATAGCTGCTAAAGTAGAATTAAAATCATCGGATCCTTAAGATTTACAAATCGAAGTAAATTAATTTATGGTATAACCAAACTAAGAATACGCTGCAGGAATTTCTTTTGATAGTCCTGATGCAGGCCTTTTTAAAGGATTCATAAGTGTAAAAACAGACGCATAATGCCTACAAAAATAAGTAGATGTGACTGCTACTTGTGTTGAATTTAGTAAATTTATTATTGATAATAAAGGCAATTAATGCACATAATTTGATTTTGGAACTTTTTATTTTGGTGAAGAGAGGAAAATCGAAGGATTTTTAGTAAATAATACACCCAATAAATTCAATTTTAAAAGTCTTTTTAGGTTCGGATTACTCTTTTCAGCTGATGACATTACCAGCTTTTAAACTCCTAATGAAGTTGGAAAAGAATAGACCGAAAAAATCATGAGTGTAAGTCCTTCGGAAGGAGTTATTGAAAGTTATTCCAAAATAAAACTTATTTTTACTTGCAAATCTAATGTTGCACTTAAAAATTAATTTTGGGCTTAATCTTATAGCTTACAAAAAGAAGATTTATTGCCTGAACTAGAGGACTATTCATATTCAGCTTTATTTTGTTATGAAGATAGTAAAGAATAACCTACTATTTTACATATTACTGGTAGAGGTATTTGTCCTACAGTTAAATTGCAAAAAAGCCTTATCTAATTTGGAGATTGTAGCGTAAACGCCTATCGCGATTTCAAATTCGGAATAGAGAATAAGAATAATAATATACCTATTAAGATTTGCTTTGATAAAATTCCTTATTTTGAAATTAGCCCAAATAATTAAGTTATTTAAGCAAATAGTAAATAATTTTTTAATGCTAGATTTTTTCCTAAAGCTGTTGGAACTTTTGAAAAAAATATGCAAATTTTCCTTATTAATAAATAATATGTTCTTAGTGTTAAAATGATTGGAAAAGCCCTTGATATTGCTAAAAAAGAAATACTTAAAAGAGGCATTGAAAGCCTTCCTGAAGACTTTTAAAGTGAAAGATAATATATCGATGAAAAAGCAATGTTCAAAGAAAAAACAAAAAAATGGTTGTTTTTTTATTATTTAAAAATACTTATTATATTAATTTTTTTCAACAAAAAATAGTATGATGTTCGTATAAATGAAACACCTTAATGGGTTAAAGAAATTAATGATTAGACAATTATAAAAAAATATGAGAACGAGAAAAAGTATAACGATATTGTACGAGATCATAGAAAAGAAAGAATAAAAAAAGAAAATAATGCAAAAATAAAATAAAAATATGAATAATTATCAGTAAAAATGCAAGAATTAGGTTATCGAAATTAATCATTAGTTTTAGATAAAGCTACGACTTTAGTAGATTCAGATAATGATGCAAAACAGCCTCCTCCAATAGATTTTGCATATGAAGTAGGAATGATTGAAAATAGAATTGACTCTCCATAATTATAGTTACCTGTAGTTGATGAACCTCTTTATGTAAATAAACCTATTGGTAATTATATACCATTTAAAAATGAAGAACTTGAAAAAACTTTTAATCCTGATGCAAATTTAGGTATAAAGAAAAAATGGCATGAATAGCCTGTGAATCATAAAGAAACACGAGAAGTTAATTAATTATTAGAAGGGGAATCATTAAAAAAAATATTTGCTGGGCCTATTCATATTAATTTTGGATAGGTTTACATAAAATCGACTATTATAAAACATTTTACAGTAAGAAACGATTTAAGAAAAGCTATTTCTGTAAGATTAATTGTTGATAGTGATGATTTAGCTGGAACTTATTAAAAGATGTAGATTGTACCTCCTAGCCAGGATGCTGGGTTTGAAATAGTACTTAAAAGCTTTAAATTAGGATAATTTAGAAGTAATGTTAAATATATTATTAATGAAAAACATACATTTGAATTGTAAGTTTTAGCAGAAATTCAAGTTGTTAGATTAGAATTATCAAAAAGTTTCGTAAAAATGTAATTTTTTGATGATAATCATGAAATGTTTACAAAAGAAACTATCAAACTTACCAATAATGGAAATGCTCCAGGTAAATTTGAATGGTTTCACACTCCTAATAAAATATTTACTGTTGTTCCTGAAAAAGGTGAAGTCCCTGCTTACTCTAATATTAATTTAAATGTTATTTATAAGCCTACTTAATTATAAGGTACTAATAAATAAGATAATTAATAACTAAATAACAATAATAACTAATAAAGACAATCATATTAATAATTACAATAAACATAATAGTAATAATAATAGTAGTAACATTTATAGGAATAATAAGTTGCTGATAAAGCTCTTTACAATCCCACTAACAGAATCGAAGAAGAAAAGTTAACACTTAGAACTTTTGATGGATTGGATTTTTAGTTGAAGTGTTAGGGAATCATTTAAGAAGCTAAATGTCAAATTTAAAAATTTGTAATTATATATTATTTTTATAGTTATGCTTTTTAATAATTTTTTAAATCAATAAAAAGAATTAGTTGGATTTAAAATAAGTATGTGTATCAAAAACAGTATTAAGAACATTTTTTATAAAAAATTAATCAAAAATGTAAGCAGTATTTGCTATAGACGAATAAACTACTCCTGAATGTGTAACATTAAGCCCTGTTAAAGGTCGAATAGGTCCAGATGAAAGTAAGGAAATAACAGTTACTTTTTTATGTAAGGAAGAAAAAGAGATAAAAGGAGAAATAAGTGTTTTAATAAGAGGTGGTAAGATTTTAAAAGCTCCTTTTTATGCAGAAGTAATAATTCCTTAAGTAATGATTCAAGAAGAGTATTTTGATTTTGGAAATTTAACGACATTAGGAAATTAAGGAATTCAAAAAATGCTATTAGTCAACAGAAGCGATATTCCAGCAGATTTAATTTTAGATATGAGAACAAATTAAGAATTATAAGGTGCATAAGAAGGAGTCGAATGCTTAGAAGTTTAAGTTGATGGAGAAGATGAAGAATCAATATTAAATTCGGTACATGAAGAAGAACACTAATAATAAGAAGATGATAAAAAAGATAATAGTAAAAATAAAGAAATAGATGAGGAAGAAGAAGAAGATGATATTGAAAGGTCAATAAATTAATCTTCATATAATTCTTTAGATTCTATTGAAGCTAAAAATAATAAAAATAAAAATAAATTATATAAATTAACTATTTTTCCCTAAAGTAAAATTAATTTTTTGTTAAAGTTTTGCCCGAAATAAATATAAAAATATGACTTTTATCTTCCTTTAACTCTTTCTAGATATGGTTCTATAAGCTCTTTAGAAAGAAGAATTCTGTGTAAAGGTTTGCATCCTAAATTTCTGATAGATCCTTAAATTTGTGAATTTAAAAGGAAAATAATTACTACACCAGATAAATGTTTTGCTAGCTCTATGTAAATAGCTTTAAATAATCCAAGTAGAATGCCTATGAAATGGAAAATAGATACAAGTAGTTTAAGTATTGATAATGTTTTCAATATAATTCCTAGTAATGGTATTGTAGAAGGAAATTCTTAAGTAGTGATTGATGCACTATTCAATCCATATACTCCAGACAAATATTAAAAGAGTGTCCCTTTATATATTCTAGAAGATGATGAGATATCAGAAGAAGTTCCTTATGTAGAAATCTCCCTAAAAGGAGAAGCAGCATTCCCCAGGCTAGTTTTTGATAGAAAAGAAATTATTTTACCTGCTGTTCCTTTAGATGTGCAATCGAAATGCATTTTTAGAATTGTTAATGACGGTTATGAAAATTTAAACCTTAAATATAAAATTATTTAGGATATTTAACCTATTAATGTTACTATTAATTGGATTGAAGGAAAAAATTTGGGAATTACTAAACATAGAATCAAAGTAGAAGCACTATTTTCTTCTAAAAAACCACTATCTTTTACTACTAGAGTAGAATTTATTGATGATTTAGATCGTATTTATTCTATTAATATTTCAGGAACTAGTGATAATAGTATTTTTACGAATTATTCTTATTTTTAAAGAAATCCAGAAGCTAAATAGCAGCTTTAAGTTGCTCCAGAAGGATTTATCTTCCTTAAAGATATCGAAAATATAAATGAAGAGTCTTTTAATCATGAAATTAATAGAAGGAACATGGGTGTACCTTCAGTAGCTTCTAATAAAAGTTTTGGATTTTAATCAATTGCAATGGGTTTGCTTGATAAAACAATTGATCATATAAAAAGATGGCTTAATTATTAAGTTTTATAACAACCAATTGTTCATTTTCCTTAAAGTGTAATTTAAAGTCACGGGAGTCAGATATTTGAATTAATGACCTTTTTAACAGGAAAACAAAACTTTCCATTTAAATATTAAAGTGATTAAATGATAAAAAGAGTCGAAAGAATAAAAAAGGTTATGCATTAATATGAATGTTTGATTTAATAACTTAAAATTGAAGGGGCTATGTTAAATCACATTCGTCCAGAATTTCTTTTAGTTTATACTGACTATTTAATTTATGTAAAAATGCTTCCTTAATAATAAACATAATTAATTAGCCAAAATGCTTTAAGGATGTCTAATTAAAAGTTCACTTATTTATAAATTGATAGCTGGATAACTTTATTCTACTAAATACTTAAAATCTATTTTTTGGGAAGATTAGTTCCTAAAACCTTCAAATAACTTCCTGGAATTCCAACAGAAAAACTTAACTTACCCCCTTGTATTGATAAAAGTAATGTTTTTTCTTAAGCTGAATAATTAGTTTTATATTGGATTGAAATCCATACTGAAATTGCTAATCCTTTAATTCGTAAAAAATTATGTAATATTGAATAAGATTTATAAGATTGCGTTTTCTTTTAGTATTTAATATAAAGTCATGTGGGAAAAAGTACAAGCAAAATGTTTTAAAATATAAAGAGAGATTGCTAAAATCAATAGGATTAAGAATAAAATGCAGAAAAAATACTTGAAGTAGCTAAAAATACAGGTATTAATACTTATTTTGAAGTTTAAGATTTCACAAAAGGATAAATGAGAGAGTTAATACTTTTCAATTTATAAATGATATATATTTTACCTAACTATATTCCAAAAGAAAATCCTATAATATTCTCATGCATCCTAGGAGAAGAAATAGTAAGGACTATAACTCTTAGTAATCCTACTTAAAGGACTATTTGGTATTAAGTAAGATTAGTAGGTCATAGTGATTTTTAATTAAATTCAGAAGATATTTTTATGATTGAACCGAAAAAAGAATACTCTTTTAGAGTTAAATTCGTATCCAGAGTTAGTGATATGGTTACTGCTCGAATTTTCTTTACAAACAGAAAAGAAAGCAATGTTTAAACAGCTGCTATTGTTTTTGATTTATAATCTTAAATAAAAGGAAGAATTTCTGAAAAGATAATTCATATCAATTCAAATTTATATGAATGTAATGACAGACATTAAATTTAAGTCACAAATAAAAGCATTACTTAAGATGGCGAATATGAAGTCCAAATTATTCATATAAAACCCGAAATACAACATGAAAATAACTCAAAGACAAAGAGAAATCCATAATTCAAAAACTCTAATAAAATATAAACACATGATGAAGAAATTTTCCCTTCATTTTTCTGTAGATAATATAATACTTAAAAATTAAGAATAAAAAAAAACAGTAGCGCAAATATTAATATACTTTTCATTCCATTAATCATGTAAACTTAGCGTTGTTATTTGATTTTCAAAGACCCTAATATAGGAGAGTTTTAATATGAAATTATAGGAACTGTAGATTCACCTTTAATGTATCCAGAAATAATTAAGCTTCCTTTAAATTCTTAGCCTATATATATTGAAACAACTACAAATATCGAAATATAATTAAATGTTTAAAATGAAGCTTAAAAGAGGGCAAGAAAGCAAATTGAATAATTAATGCTAGAAAAAAATAAAGAGAAATATTAAAAAGGAGATAAATATGCTCTTAAAAATATTGATAAAATTAACTTTCCAGGTACTAATTTAGAATAATAAGGACAGTTTTAAGTAGAAATTTAACCAGCTGTATCTTTTATTACTATACCTTAAAGTTTTACAATTCCGAATATTATTTTAAACCAAGTAGCTTTAATCTAAACAAATACTAGCAGTAATAATAATAATAATACTAGAGGAAGTATAGTAAAAGAATCTTAAAACTTGGAAAATACAGTAATTGATAATAATAATATATTTGGATTAGTGAGATTCCCTTTGTCATTTTATTTCAAAAATCCAGTTAAAGATTATAAATTAGAGTTGACATTGCATAATAAAGCAAAAACAGATATCAGAAAATATAGACTAGAAGTAACTTCTAATCCTAAACCAATAAAAGCAATACTTGAATTCAAAATACCTGCCAGATAAACTTCAACATAAGAAATTCCAATTATAAATGACTCAGAAAAAGATTGGACTATAAAAGTTTTGTTTTTCAGAGAACCTAGATTCATAAATAATCATTTATTTTAAGCCTCGGCCAATTTTAGTAAAGAGTTTGTCGTAAAAAAAAAATCTCAAACAAATTTCCTTTTATATTTCAAACCTAAATGGATTTGTGAGGCTGAATGTAAACTTCAACTATAAAACATAATCACAAATGATCTTTATGAATACACCCTAAAAGGAAAAGGATTAGAACCTTTAGCTGAAAACCATATAGTCCTAAAATGCATTTCAAGGCAATCATAAATACATGAAATTTAAGTTCAAAATCCCTACACAGATAAAGATGTCACTTATTAAGTTGAAACAGATTTAATAAATGCTTAAGGACCCCCTTCTTTGAAAATAAAAGCAGGAGCCAAAGCTTCTTATAACATTTCAGTCACTCCAGTTCTAAGTGGTTAATATACAGGCTCTATAACTTTTCAAGAATAAGAAGGTATTTATTAATGGTTTACAGTTACCCTTAACACTGTAGGTCCTGCAGCTGAAAAAGTTATTGACATATAAACCAGCATAAGATAAAGTTGTGCAACTGATATAGAAATATTAAATCCACTTCCTCATAGTGTAGTTTTCGATGTTATAATTAATGGAGTTGGGCTTGTTGGAAATTAAGTGTTTTAAATTGAATCTAACTAAGCTAAAATTTATACACTTTTATATAGTCCTTTATAAGCTGGAAAAAACAAAGGCTCAATAGCATTTATTAATTCGATTTTAGGAGAAAAATGGTTTGATTTAAATTTATAATGTGATGAATTCTAATAAGTTAAAGTCCCTATTCTTAAAACTGAGTTAGGAAAAAATTCTTAATATGTTATTAAATTAGAAAATCCTATTGATAAAAAAGTCAAAGTAATTACTAAATGCTCTAACAGTTAGAACTTTGAAGTTTTCCCTCAGGATATTGTACTTAAGCCACTCCAATAAACTGATATTTATATTAAGTATAGTCCTTCTACTTTAGATGTAACATATTATTTTATAATTATTTGATATTATATTTATTTATATAAATAATAAAAGATAATAGAATAGGCTGAAATAACTTTCTTAACTTCAGAAATAGGAAAATGGAGTTATTATTTTTCAGGTACAGGAATTCCTCCAAATAAATATGAGACAAGATAAATACATGTTAATATAAATAAAGACTATTCATCGTCAATATAATTTAAGAATCCATTAAAAGAATCAATATAAATATAAATATATATGAGAGCATAAGCAGAAAGTAAGAAGGTATTTAAAATGTTATTAAAAGGTAAGAAGGTAAAGGAAGAAAAAATTCAAACATAAATAGAAGCCTTATAGGCCTTAAATATTCCTTTCTCATTTATTCCTAATGAAATAGCAAAGTATTATTGTGAAATAGTAGTAGCAATGAATGAAAAAATAGAATGGATTTATCCAATAGAAGGAATAACTTAGTTAAATTAATAAACAATTATACAATCTTTTAAATGTAAATGCCGAGAAAGCTTAGATGAAGAATTTTCACTTAAATTAGATGGAATTAATGATAATTTAAATTAAAATGATATTTTTTCCTTTGAATTAAAAGGTATAGAAGAACATTTAAAAACAATAATTGAGAAATCTATTAATATTAAAATTAGTAAAAATTAAATTGCCAATGCAAACGACAAATTAGAGTTCTAATTAAAATTCACTCCTTTGAAACCTTTCTAAACAACTATCGAATTTCATGTATTGAGAAAAACAGGTGGTAAATGGAGGTAATTTTAAATATATATATAACAATTTATTTATTTTAAATAAAAGATATTTTATGAGCTTCGAAGCTACAGAACCAGAATTCGATGATACAATAATAATTTCCTCATCTTTGAATAAAACATAATCAGTTTCTTTCAAGCTTACAAATAAATCTAAGTAGTTTGCCTCCTTTACAGCTAGTTTTACTTCAGAATCTGACACTGAATTTACTGTATTTCCTAAAAGTGGAAATTTAGAATCCTATGGAAGAGATGGAACTAACTTTATCGTTTCGTTTACCCCTATTCAATATGGAGGAACTCGTACTGCTAAACTTATAATTTAAACGGAAGAAATGTATTGGTCATATCTTGTAAAAGGAAAATTACCAAAATATGATCCTCCTTAACCCGAATAAAGTTTAATTAATGATAAATTAGAAGCTCATTTAGATCTTAGATCTTAAGGATAATCTAATAAAAATTATATGCAAAATAATATTAAAAAAGCTAAGAAAAATAATTAAAGCAAAAAATCATTTACTAACTATGACTCTAATAATTCTACTAGAGCTTAAATTGTTAATAATTCCTAAAGTATTAGTTATATTGGAGGTGGAGCTGAAAAACAGGAAAATGTGAAAAATATGAAAAATAATGATTGATTTTAAACATAATTATTTTTACATATAATTCATCACTATTTAAAAATAATAAATAATTTAATAAAATTGTAATATTATTATTAAAATTATTTTTTAAAATTAAAATATTTTAAATAATATTATATAAACATATTTTCATTTTCTAAAAACAAAATTTAAACACTTTTCATATAAATAAACTTAATTATATTTGACTATATTTATTATTAGATAAATTTAAAATTTAATCTTTTATTTATTCAAATTTTATGTAATAATTGACATACTTAAATCCTCTTATTATACAGCCAATTCTTTATTATCTAGCAATATAACAAGAAAAAAAATTAAAATTAAAACGGATTATTCACAGTAGTAGTATTTCTATTTTCAGAAAGTTATATATTAAATTTCTAATTCATTTTAGTTTTTAAATAATCATATAAAATTTGAATATTATCAGTTTTATTAATTTTTATATTTACATCTTTATGATTATGCAATTTTAATTTTATATTTGTTTTTAGTAGTTTACTTTCATCCATATAAATATATAATTTTGATTATTTAGTAAATATATCTATTATTATTATATACAATTTTATTATGGTTGGTAATTTATATTTTCTTATCTTTTTTTAATAATTTATTTGAATTTATATATTATATCAGTATCTTTTATATTTTAATCCAGTCTTTTATGATATTGTTATCTTAATTATATTGATAATTTTCTTTAGTATATTTGCTATTTCTTTGCTACTATTAGTTTAATTCTTTCATGAATTATTAATTTTCTTATTTATTGTAATCTTTTAATTCACTATTTATATAAGGAGTAATTTCAAAATATTATTTACCAAAATCTCCTATAATTTATTTTAAGTTTCTAAATAAAAAATTATATTATTTAAAAATATTACTTTTCTGCCTTTTATACATCTAATGAATTTGATAGATTAAAAAATATATTTAAAAGAAAATTTTACATTCTACTGATATATTAATACGATTTTTTTTTTATTTTCAGATATTATAATTAAAAAATAATGATAACTAATGAAAAACTACGATATATTAAATAATATAAATACTTTTTTCACCTCCTATATATAATATAGTTGAATTTTTATCCTTTTTATATTTATTTTAGTACCTTTAAGTCCGTCTAAAGTTTTGGACATATTTTATATTGAAATAAATTTAAAATTTAAACTAGAATTTCGAAATAAATAATAAATATAAAATAAATATATTAATTTTAATTAAAATTAATTATAAAAAAAGTAAAGTCAATAAATAAAATATGAAGTACATAAAAATTAATTAATAAATGAAAATATATATATATATATATATATATATTATATAAAATTTATTCAATTCTTTTTTATTAATAAATAATTTTTTGTTTATTTATAAAGTATATATCAATTTTTAAGATATTAATAGAGGTTTCCTATTAATCCTTTTTATTATGTTTATTTCTATAATTAACTTCTAATCGAATTTTAGTTTGAAGTGGCATTTAGAATAAAAGTTCTATTATTATTTATATATTTAAAGTATTTTTTTAATATTTACTAGATTTTCTAATGAACTTTATTTAAATCAATTCCTCCAATAAAAGATAAAGATTTATCTTATTTCTTTTATTTAGTTTAAATATTTTTTTTTGTTATTAATGAATTTACTTTAAAATAAAAAGTTAATATTGGTTCTGGCTCGTAATCAGCCTTACTAGTTTTCAAATCGTCAGCATTTATAATATACTTTTCTTCAATATAATCAATATCGATTATTGATTATCCTTCTGGGTCTTTTTTACATATAATCTTTTTTTATTATTTTATAAGTATATGTTTTATAAATAATAATTTAAAATACTTAACATGGGAATATCTGCTATTACCCTTATTTTTTTAAATTAAAAATCATAATTGTTTAATCTAATTAACTTATCTATATTATTTGAATTATTTTTGTTTTAAATCGAATTAAATTTTTATTTTTTAAATTATAATTTTATACATATTGATTAAGTTTAGAGATTTCTTGCTATTAAATTTCGAGGTTTTTTTCTAAAAGTAATGTTTTCTCATTATTAGATTAATTTCTAAATTTTTTTAAAAAAATTATTAGTATAAAAAATATTTTTATTTTTTTAAAACATTTTATTTTTATATTCCAAATTTTATATTTTTTCATTTAATAATTAAATATCAACTTAGGCACTTTTATATTAATTATCTATTTATTCTACTTCTCTATTTTTTAATTTAATAAATTAATATTTTCATTTTTCAAATTTAATATTTCATTCTAAAATGCAGTTAAATCCAAACTTTATTAATTTTATTAATCAATTTAATTTTTAAGAATTAGATTTTCTTCTTTCAAATATTTGTTTTCATTTAATAATTTTTTGCATATATTTTTATAATTTTATTAATCATTTTACACATTAAAGCCTAATATTGAAACTAATTCTTAAAAGAAAGAATCATTCTAATTATTATTTTAATTGTTTTCTATTTCCTTTTTTAATTTCATATACAAATCTAAATATTTCTTTTAATTTTTAAATTAAATAAATAAATATGATAAATAAAATTATATATATAGTTTTTTTTTTTTTTTTTAACAAAATACTTCTTTATTTAATTATTCTCTAATTAAACTTTCATTTAAGTCTGAAATTTCTTAAATTAGCTTTGCATTTAACTATTCCTATTTTATAATAATATTAACAATATTTTTTAAAAAACTAAATAGAAATATATATTACTATTTAAATTAAATTCTTTTAAACCTATTCTAAATTTCGTTTTAATTCTTAATTTTTTTTATCTGATTCAGTTTTTAACTCTCTTTCCTTTAAAACAGCATCTTTTAAAATTAACATTTTTTTCTTCAAAGATTTTTATTAATAACAATCATTAGTTCTAGGATCCATAGTCAATCTTAAAGCTATTAAAAATATAAAGTAAATAAAAAAAGTTAATAATTATATTTATTTATTAAATTTACCCAAGCTACTCCTATTAAATATTTAAATTTTATTAAGTTAAAACTCTTAACTTTCTATTTTTTCAAATCCACTAGTAGAAGATGATGCTGAGTCTTGTTATTTTAAAATTTTTTACATTTTTTATTATTTTTATAATAATATTATAAATTTTTTTTGAATTTATATTAAATAAATAGTAGAAAAAATAAAGAAAATTAGTTATCAAAGAAACCATTAGAAAAATTAATAGTATTAAAAAATATACATATTATATTTTTATTAATTAATTTATATATATATATATATATATATATATATATATATATATATATATATCTATGAATTTTTTTATGTATTTATATTTAATTTTATATACAAATTTATATATTTATATTTTTTTAGATGTATTTATTTTTATATTTATATTATTTTATAATTATATTATATTTTCAATATTTTTATCTATTATTAATATTTTTCTTTTTTTGTCATTTTATATCTATTATTTTTTATATTAATATTTTTAGAAATATTTATATTTAAATATAAATTATCCATATTTTTTTTATATTTATACTATGTTTTATAAATCATTAATATTATATATATATATTATATTTATATACATATTATATTTATATATTATATTTATTAATTTTTTTTTTATTATTTATAAATTTTAATTTTAAAACTTAAATAAATTTTAATTAATAATTATTAAGTATTAATTTTAAATAAATACAAAATATTTTATTTATAATTTTTAATCGATTTTTTTTTTAATCTTTTCTATTAAATTATCATTTAAATTTTTTTTTTAAATTTATAAGCTATTTTACCTTTTTGTAAATATTAATATATATAGGCTATTTTAATTTGAAAATTAATTTATAAATAAAATTTTAATACTATTTATATTTCATCCAAATATTTAAAAAAAAAGAAAAATATAAAAATTATGAATTTTAAGTAACTCAAATATTGTCTTTATATAAATTTTAACTATATTATAAAATTAATTGTTTATTAGTTCTTTTTGGTAATAATATGGATGTGATAATACATCAAATTTAGAATAAATTTTAAGCATCGAAAATTTGACATGTGAGGAATTATTAAATACAGAAAACATAATAAATGAAGTAAAGCAAAACCCAATAAAATTCATTAACTTGTAAAAAATAAAATTCATATAAATTTTGATTGAAATTTAATATTAAAATAAATTTGTTATTAAATATAAAATAATTATAATAAAGTTTGAAAAATAATTTTGATATATTTAATAAGCTTTTAGATTATGCTATAAATATGCCAGATGAAGAAGGAGATGATGAGAAAAAGTTATATAAGTAAATTAAGATAAAATTTATATTTAAAAAAGGCTTATTTTTATTAAGCTATTTTTTTCTTTTTTAGATATCCCTTTGTTTCTAGTGAATTATTAGGTTCTAATTTAAAAGGCATAGAAGAAATATATTTTAATTTAAATATTAACCTAATAGATCAAAATTCTGAAAATAATATAGCCGCAAAGCATAATGATTCGTTTGGCCTTCAAATCGAACAAAATGAAAAATAAGAAAGATTGGAAAAAAAAGAAATAAATAATTAAAAAGACACAAAATAAAAAAGTTAAAATTAAGTAACGGAAATTACCAGTAAATAGTTATTAAATAAAATATTTAAGTTCATAATTGAGAATAAGGAAATCGAAGAAACCCAAGCAGGTTATTTCGCGAAAATATTTTCTAATTTGATGACTAATAGTGGGGAAATATATAATTATATTTCAGATAAAAAGGAAATATTAGAAGGCCTTGTAAATAATGTAAGAAGTAAAAGTATTTTGGAGTTAATTTCTAGACTTATAATACATGTAGGTTTTCATATAGATGATAAAGTAGACTAATTTTGTTAATAAAGAGAAACATTATTAAATTTATTAAACCAAAAATTCAAAAGCGGTGATGTTAATGAAAAAGAAAACATTTTTCTAATCTTATAGGAAATTTTTTAAGAATTAGTTTAATAAAGTAAACATAACAAAGCACTTAAAACATGCTATAATTATATTAATAATATACAATTTGTTTAATCTTTTTTTGATGTTATTTCTGATTAAAATAATTGTATTCTTTCGGTTGGATATGCGGCTAATAGTCTTAGTATTTTAGTTGCTTATTATAATTCTAAAATAAAATAACATTGTGATTAATCTCATGAAGTTTTAAATGAAAAAATATTCGAAGATGATGAAGAAATTGTATTTCCAGCAGTTGAATCATTTAACTAAAGTACAGAAATTTTAGTTAACTACCTTAATAATAAGGTAGATGATAAAATTTAGACTTCATATAAATAATAAATTACTCCTTTGGGTTTTGGAAAGCTTAAAATAGCAGAACTTATGGCACATATATTTAAAAGCGAAAATATTTAATTAATTAATAAATTAATAGAAGCTGGCTTGGTTAAAATTTTATAAAATTTAATGATTTAGTATCCTTGGAATAATATATTACATTTTTATATAGAGAAAATATTTAGTGAAAGTATTTAAATTATAAATGAGAAAAAATCTTAAATTTTATAAAAATATATTTTTGAAGAGAATAATATACTTGAGTTTATTGCTATTAATTCACAAGAAAAAGAAGAGAAAAATGGATTTTTGGGTTTTTTAACTAATTTAGCTAGAAAAATATAAGAAAATACTAAAGCTTTTTCTTAATATAAAGAAAATAATTTAATTTGGTAAAAATATGTTTAAGAAACGTATTTAAAAATAACTGAAAGAGAAAATAAAAAATTAGCGGCTAATGAAAATGTTGAAAATATTATAAGTTAGAAATAAATTTAAGATACTAATTTCAATGAAATAGATACTGAATAAATATGTTAAGTATTTTTCTTTTTATTTTATTGAATTAAGTTTTATTTTTTTAAAAATAGAGATTTAATAATTATTTTGAGAATAAAAAATAAAATCCTGATAATGAGTATGTTTTTAGTGATGATGATGAGGAATGTACGACTGAAAATATTAAAAATGAGAATCATGATATTGCCAATTAAAATACAGAACCTAGTGATAAAAATAATAATACTGATAATTCTATTAATAGCGATGGACAATAAAATAAAAATGAATAAGATAATTAAACTAAAAAAAGTACTGGAGTTAAATAAGAACTAAATAAATCTTAAAACTCTGATGATAAAAATGCATCTATGTATTTTTTAATTTTAATATATATAAATTTTATTTCAATTAATACAGATAAGAATTTTTTGAAAATGAAGTAAAAAGTGAATTTATTATAACCTCATTTATCAAAAGATCAAACAGTAAAACGTAAGAAGAATTTTGAAAAGGTTTTTCGCACTATAACATAAATATTAAAATTATACAAAAAAAAAAAAAAAAAAAAAGAAGAATAATTTTATAAGCCAAAATATATTTTTATCTTATAAAAACTTATTAAAATATAATATAATAAAAGTTATTAAATAATAAAATTAAAATTTATTTGAATATATATATAAATATAGTATTTACAATACTCAATTTTTTTGTTTTAACAAAAATTATATAATAATAATTTCATATTATAGAAAATCAGTATACATATTAAAAAATGCTATGAGTTCTTTATAAAAGTTATAATCTGTTTAATATTTATTTGAAATAAAATATCATATTTGTAAATAGTAGTTAATTAAAACAGTTTTCAATTAGACTCGTTTTTTCATCATTTTTTCTAAACAACTTTTAGATTATTTCCAAGTGGAGGTGAAAAGAGACAAGGAGGGGCTATAAGGCATAAATTAATTTATTAAAGGTTTTATCTTATATATTTTAATTCAATTTTAACAAATAATAAATTTATAAAATAAAAAAAATGTTATTTATTATAATTTATATTATTTTTTTAATTATAATAAACAAAAAAATAAAATATTTAATAATAAAATGTCCGCCATATAGATTATCTTATCTTAATTTTAAATAGACTGTAATTATGCTTTAAGAGAATTATAATTAGATGATTATGATAAATTTTACTTTTAATGTTTATAAAATCTAACAGATGCCCCATAAATTTCAAGAGAATAATTTTAAAATGAATTTTTCGAATAATAAGATTAACCTTTATTTAATTATATTAATATAGTAATAGAAAGTTTAAGTGAAAAAAAAATTGTTGCTGCCGGAACTATTGTTATTGAAAAAAATATTGTTGGAAATATAGGACACATTGAAAATATTGTTACTACTAAAGAATAATAGGGAAAAGGTTGGGGTTCTTTAATTATAAAAGCACTAAATAGAATTGGTTTAGAAAATTAAAAATGCTAAAAACTATCTCTTTATTGTAAAGCTTCTAATATTACTTTTTATGAAAAATTAGGGTACATTTTCGAAGGTGATGAATTTTTTTTAAGAAAATGAAAAAAAAAAAAAAAAAAATCACTATTTATTTTATATTTTTTGTTATTATATATATACTTTATTATTTGAAATAATAATTAGAAACTGTTTATTAAATTTATATATAAAAAATGACAAGTATAAAAATACATTATTCAAAAATAATTAATTCTTAATAATATTTTTTTTAGCTTTAAAATTAATTAAAAAAAGCTATACTCTTATATAAACTAAAAAAAATGATTATTCCTTAATTTAAAATATCTTAAGATACAAAGTATATAATAATATTAATACGACTACCTTATGTTAAAATATCAAACTCAGAGTTTTTTATAGATTAAAATACATTTAAGTATTTTCTTCATCCTTATTTATTATCTATAGCATTTAAAAATCCTCTAAAGTATGTCGAAGAACCTTCTTCGGTTAAATATGATTGCGAAAAATACGAGCTTACAGTAAATCTACTGAAAGAAAACGAAGGAGAGTTTTTCGAAGATTTAGATATGATCTCTAAATTACTAAATTAGAATAAAAAACCAAAAAAGATAAGAAAAGAGCTCCTAAAATATAAGTTATTGGAGAAGTAGAAAGCTTAGAAGAATAATTTGATGAATAATTAGTTATTTGTAATCGTATTAATAATTTTAATTATGGTTTTAATGATTAGTTTTGTGATTTTTTTAATGATTTAGAAGATGAGATTTATGAAATAGGAAATTTAAATCCTGATTAAATCCCAAAAAAGGATAGAAAGGATTTAAGAAACCTTTATTTAAAGGAGAAATTTGATGAAGATACTTATGCATATGATACTTTTGAGAACGAAGAAATATAAGAGCATATAAAATGTAATTATTTAAGAAAAATTTAAAAAGAAGAAGAAAAAAATAATGATTATTTTACAAATGAAGAATTTATTATTTTAAAAAAACTTCCTAATAAAGAATTTATTATAAAAAATCAAAAAAAATGCTTACTAGAATTACTTGATATTATATTTGCTTATGTTTATGAATATAAATGTATGTAAGGCGAATTTTCATGTGAAAGTGGTTAAACTATAAATTAAATTTCGAATTCTTTTTCTTGCTTTTTTTCTGAAGATTGTATCGAAAATATATTAAGTGCTTGCTTTTCAAGAGCACTTGTCTTTCCTCTTGTTAGAAATTACGATTTATGTGTTTAAACTTAGAAGGAGGTAGCAGAGATATTTATTTAAGGAAAAAAATAAGTTCTTAAATGTTTATTAGGAGTTTATGGCATATTTGAAAAAAACGAACCTAGATATTTATTAAATACGCTTTTTGTGAGTGATTTTTGTATTTGGATTTAATAAGTTAAAGAAGAAATTATTTAAGAATTCGGAAAGAGTATTTAATAGATTAAAATTAATAAAAAACAACTAATATTTGATATAGAGGAGGTTGAAAAAGAGTGCTTAGAGATTATAAATAATAATAAATGATTAATTTTTTTATTTGTTTATGTATAAAAATAAATATTTTTTTTTTTTTCAATATTAATTTTATTATTATAAAGATTTAATTTTTTTTGCAGATTATTTTAAAACTTCATCTATTTAATTTTATAATTCTTGAAATTTCTAATGATCTAATTATTATATTTGGTCTTATTTTTTCTTAAAAAGATTTGTTCTTTCTTCTTAATATTTTTGTAAGTCTTAAAATAGTTTATCTAAACACTATTCTGATTATTTATAATTTTAAATAAATTTTTAGTTTAGTTAAGGGACAGTAATCACTATTTTTTTTTTATCTTTTGTAAGATTTTCTAAATCACTAAGTTTTTTTATATTAATTCTATATTATTTTTTATTCTGTTTATTTTTTAAGAATAGATATTTTTCTTTTCTTCTATTGTCTCAATATATTTTTTTTCGGTTTTTTCTTTTAAATCATTCATCTTAGTATATTTATCGTCAAAAATTATATATTATTCTTACAATTTAGAAATTCCAAAATCTATTTTTTCCTATAAATCCACTATTTTTTCTGGAAAATCAATTTCTTAAGGTTAAAAAACTTACATTTGGTATTCTTATTTTCCTATATTTAAAAGTTATTCTAAAAAGTTTTGATTTAAATATTCAAAATTTAAATGAGTTTATAAATATTAAACTTAAAAAAAGTGAATATGGATAAATAATTCTTTTTAAACGTTTTTATTGACATTACAAACAATCAATAGATCATTTTATTAATGAACAAAATAATATCCAAAAGATTCCAAAGAAACATTTTTTTCAGAAAGCTTTTTTTCTGAATTAATTAACACTTTGAATTCACTTTTTGAGTCTTCGTTTAAATATTTCATTTTATCTATCGAATTCTATTCTATATTTGCTAGCCAAATTAAGTTAATTGAATAAATTCTATTCATATATAAAAAACATATCGCTTCTTCTATATTTGGGTTCTCTTTTGTTAATTTTCCATATTAATTTTCAATAAATTAAAGGGCTTTTCCTTATGGATACTCTATTGGACTTTCTAAATGAAATTTTTAGAAATCTAAAAGTTAAAAAACGTATTTATTTGAACCAAAATCATTAGGAAATACAGGTAAAGTACTAAATAATATTTTTACTGTAGAATAATTATTTCTACTTGTTTTTTTTACCAAAATAAAAGTGTGTAGAATTCCTTTTTTTGATTAAATTTTATGAAATTTAACATATTATCTTAATATTTTATATTCTTCATTATTTTTTGTTATTTTTTATAAATTAAATTAGATTTTGTAATCTTACATATTTCCTAATAATATCGTATTTTTTTTAAAACTTTAACTTTTTAAGACTTAGGAAGATTAAAAATTAAGCATTTTATTTAATAATTAAATCAGAAATTTAAAACTAATTTTTTTAAATTATATTATTTAATTAAATATTGTTTTTTTTACCAATCTATTTAATTTATTTCAGATTCTATATTTGATTATAGTATATTTTATATTTCCTTTTCTAATTATTAAATAAGATTTTATATATTAGAAACTTATACTTAGACACCTTTAATAAAAAAAGGACATTAATAATAAATAGTTCCTTTATCAGTTAAAAAATACAATGCGAAAAAATCTAAATCAACAAAAGATTAATTGTTTCCGAATTCAAAATCTATTAAAAATTCATTTACTTTTACGAAATTTTATAAATTTTACACATATATAGGTTATATAGTTTTATATTAAATATTTCTAATAAAAATTTCTTATTCAAATTTATATATTTAGCTTTATTAGTTTTAATCATGTTAAATTTCTTCTCCTAAATAATTCTATATTCGAAAAATAAGAAACTACTTGCTTTTTGTTAATACAGCTATATTTTTTTCATCCATTCTTAAAAACTTTATGCTTTATATTTATTATTTTATTTCTAATTTTTAAAATAATAGGTTTGGTTTTTAGTGCTTATCATTTAAGATTTTAAAATCAATCAAATATGCTTAAAATTTAGAATATATACATATAATATTTTCTTTTTCAGATATTATAATTTCAAATTATTCTTCTTCTTCTTATTAATTAATATTCGTTTAATATTTTTTATTAAATATCTCTTACTCATTTGAAACATTTATTTACCATAAATAGACATTTTTGTTATTAGTTTCTAAAAATAATAGGCTTTCGCCAAAAATAAGTCCGGATTTATTATTTAAATTTTATTCAACTATTAAAGGCTTTTATTCTTTTAATAATTAGTTTATTTTTTCTTCCATTTTTATATTCTTTTTTTTTTTTTTGTTTAGACAAAATAATTAAAATATTGCGCTTTTTAAAAATATTTTATTTTATATCTTTAATATTTAATTGTTTTTTATTTATTTTTATTATTATTATAAGAAATTATTAAAAGGACTATATAATTGAATGTTTTTGTTTTTTATTTTACATAAACATATAAATTAGATTTTATAAAGAAAAAAAATTAAGATAAATAAATATTCAAAAAATGTATTATTTTAATTATAATAAGATTAATTAAATTTCAAATTATAATTAATTTTATTATATTTTAGATATAACTTATTTTATATAATAAGTGATTTATTTTTTTTACTTTTAATATATAAACTTTTGTATATATACTTAAAAAATATATTATATATTTAAAATATAATTTTATATTTATTAATTTATTATAAACATATTTTTTTAAAAAAAAAATAACAAAAAAAAATGGAAGATAATTAATAAAATAATAAAATATCTTTATATATAGATTTAAATCTAAATAAATAAGAACAAAGAAAATAGACTCTAAAGAAAAAAGAACAAATAGTAATGAAAAAGTTTTATAAAAATTGGGTAAAAGATTCTGATGCAAAAGTTTGTTTTTAATGTAGAAAACTATTTATCTTTATTTTTAGAAGAAGACATCATTGTAGAATATGTGGGTAAATATTCTGTTCTAAGTAAAAATAAATAATAATTTATATACTAATTATTTTATTATTATAATAAAACAAAAAAGATGTGGAAATTATTATTTTTCTACACTTACTTAAGAAAACAATAAAATCATAAAAAATACAAGACTATGTAAACAATGTTTTGATAAATGTAAGGATTATTTAAAATAGGAAAATATTTACGAGAGTAAAAAAAAAATATTTTAATTTATTTTTCTATATAAAATATAAAAAATGTAAAAATTAATTAATATAGAATCAGACGAAGAATTCGATGAAAACTCCGAAGACGAAATAGAAGAAGAAAAAATTAACCAGTTATTATTCTTAAATTCAAATTATAAAGATTTGTTTGATTAAAATTTAAGGAAACTAACAAATATTATATTTTAGAATGATTAATATATTCTTGATAATAGAGATACCTTTTTCTTAATTGTTAATTAATGTTTGAAATAACTAAAAACAATTAAAAAGAAGAACTATTTTATTTAAAATAATAAAAACGAAATGGATATTAATTAATAAATTTTTATTAAAAAATGGTTTTGTAAAGAACAATAATTTTTAATAAATGTATAAGGGATAATAAAAAGCAAAAATGTAGCAAAAAAACAAATGAAAACATATTTAGGAAAAGGTAAATAATAAAATCATACAAATAATGTAAATACATATAATATAAATTCAAATGACTTAAATTTTGATTAATAATGTTAAAATATTATGAAATAATAATAAACATAATATTATAAATAAAAAACAAAAAAATCAAATAAAAGCTTTTCTAACTCTTTTGAATCTTAGTCTCATTATTATTAAGAATGTAATCAATTTTAAGTAAGATGCTTAATTATATCTTCATAGATAGACACTTTTTTAGGAAACGATTTAATACATGCTGATTTATAAGAAATAATAAACTGTTAATAAGAAAATTTCTAAAAAATAATAAGGACAATTAAAAATTATTAGCCTTAAATTATTTTCTGTAAATAAAATGTAGATGAAAAAATACTTTAGGAACTTGAAAAAGGCTGTATTTGTGTAGTTTAAAAATTAAAAGATACTACAATTGCTTAATTGGCGGAGATTGCGCGTTGTTAAATTATTGAAAATACTTAATAATTTATTTATTCTCAAAAAATTAATGAAGATTATATTGGGCACTTAACATCAGTTTATTTCAAAAATTTTCATTATAAATATAATTAAAAAACTTTAATGTTTGTTGAAGGTGATTAAAAATATTCGCCCTTTTATACACTATTAATTTGCGGGGATGATGAAATTAAATTGAAAGAAACAAAAAAAAATATTAAAAGTTATTTTAATCGATTTTAATTGTTTTTTTTTATATATTTTTAATAGTTTTATTATCTTTGGCTAAAAATTTGTATTTAGAAAGAGAACTTATTTACAAAAATGATTAGATGATTAAATTAAATAAAAAAAGCAAAAAACTTTATTTAGAAAGTTTGGAAAATAACATTATTGATTTTGGAAATTTAAATGGATTTATAAATGATAAAATTGGAGATAATGAATATATTTAAAGTTGCTTAAATAATTATTAATATACATAAATAAATTACAGAATAGGAAGTGAATAAATTTTTAGTGATTTAATACAAAAAGAAGATTTATAGAAATATATTTAAGATAAAAAAATAAATTATTATAATACTAAAGTAGGAAAATTAGCTAAAATTTGTGACTATTAATATAAGTAAATTTAATTTTATAATTAAGGAGATGAATCTTTATGTAAAAATTATATATATATAAATATATATATATATATATTCATATATTTATTTAAATTTTATATTTTTAAAGTTAAGTTTCTCTTTTATTTGTCAAAAAAAATAAACACATAATGTTAAAATTGCTAGTCAGCAATGTATAATCATATACATCTATTCGTTTAATAAAATACATTTATAAGAGTTAGTATAAGTGAAAAATTTGTAAGTATAGTAAACTCTTAATAAATAGAAGTAATAAAATATGTATAAAAATAGACTTAATAACAACAATAGCAATCCCAAGGTTAATATAATAAAAAATTATAATAAATATAAGATAAAAAATATAAATATTTTAGAATAAAAAACACATAATTAAGATAGAAATACACATAATAATGATAAAAAAGTATATAGTTATATATGTTGTAAACAATGTAATTTAAATTTATGTAATGGATAAAATATAGACTTTACGAATATAGCAAAATACTATTCATTTAATAGATTTTTATAACATATGTTTTAGAATTATAGTGAAAATTATAATATATCTAAAGTGTAATAATTAAAAGAATTAAAAGAAAACAACTATAATTAAAATAATAATGTATATTAATAGTCTTTAAATTTCCTTGGTTAATAAAAATGTAGCCATTTAAAAAAATCGAGAGTTTTTTTAATTACAGATGTTGAAATTAGATTTGAAGTTTTGAAAAATAATATTTATTCATTAGACAAAATATAATTTAATGAAAATAATTCAATTAAATTAGAAGAAAAATATTATAAAGAGTATTTTTTTTAGTTTAAAAATATGCTTACAATTGCGAAAAATGAGGCTTTTTAAAAATAATAAGAACTTCAAAATTACTTAGCAATTAAAAAAAATCATAAATATTAATAATTAATGAGTGAAGTAGAATTTTATTATGAAAAAATAAAATGTGAAATTGATTATATTATGAATATTATGGATGATAATATTAAATACTTTAAAGATTGCATTAAAATTTATATTTTGGAATAAAGAATTAATATTTATTTAATAAAAATAAATTAGAGATTAAAAGAAGTCAAAAGAAGAAAGAATAAACTTTTAATTGATACTTAATAAATTCCTAAAAACGAAAGGTTTTTTAAAATTATTATATATAAATAAATATATTTATAATTTTTGTTTAGAGATGAAAGTGTAAGTATAAGTGGATTAGATAATATAGAAAGTATAGACGAAACAATAGAAAAAATAATGTATATATATATATATATATATATATATATATATATATATATAATATAATATTAAACTTAAATATATATAAAAAAAAGTACAGATGAAAATAAATAAAAAATTTAAGATTTTTAAGTTTTAAATGGATAAGAAGAAAATATAAATGATAAAGAAACTTAATAATTATTTGTATATAAAAAGAGTATATAATAATATTATTACCTTTTTTTTTTTAAAAATAAATAAATAAATAAATAAGGAATACATTCCTCTTTATTAAAAAAATTTTCTGTGTATGATTGCTTGGGCATTAAATTCTAAAGTTTATGCAAAACATATGAAAGAAATAGAATTAAATGGAAGTTTAGATAATTAATAAGAAATTAATAAAAAAAAAAATAATATTCTTGATTCTTAATAAGAATCCGATAAATCTTTCCCAGAATATAATAAAAAAATATCTGTAAAAATCCTTAAATAATAAGAAAATGACGTTTTTATGAAATTTGATCATTATTTTCCCGAAAAAAGCTAAAAATTTTATCCACATGAAAACTTAGAATTTTAATCTTTGAATAATTTATAGACTATAGGATAGATTAATAAACCAGAAGATTTTGTTATTGAAAATACTATATTTTAAGATGATTAAATACACTAATTTTAAGAAGAATTTAAAAAGAGAAAAGCTTTAGAAAACAAATAAGGTATTATAAATGAAAGCAAGTTTGATTCAAAAAATAATCAAGAAATTAGTATTTAAAAAGATGCTCATATTAAAAAAAAAAAATCTAGTATTATTCTGAATAAAAATATGTCATTTAGGGGTAAAAAGAAGATTTTTAGGAACATAACGAAAATAATGAAGTACTTTAAGAAAAAAATGAAGAAAAATAAAAAAATTTATTTGAAAACTCTTTTTCTGATTCAAACTATGAATATTATAATTAATAGGAATAAATGACACCTTAAATATAATAGTAAAATATAATAGTTAATTTAAATAATGAAAATAATTTAAAAATTGAAGGAGATTACGAACTTTTAAAATATAAAATACATTCCATAAAAAACAAAGGAGGAGAGTTTAATAATAAAGAAAAAAAGAACCAAAATTAAGATGAAAATAAATAAAATAATAATGAACAAAAAAATAAAAATAAAGCAAATTCGGTTTTATAATTATAAAATTCTAACTTAAGTCATAATAAAGGAAATTAAAACAAGGCTATAGCAATATATCAAACAGGTACAAAGGAAACAAATAATAAAATAGCGGAAATTAATATATATTATCCCAAGTAATTTTAAAACATAAGAAAACAATATAAAATTACATTCGAAAGATATATATAAAGTCTAGTTTCTAGTTAACCTATAAAACTCTAAGGAGGAAAAACAAGAAGCGGATTTTTCAAAAGTAGTAATGATTTGTTTGTGATAAAAGAAATTAGCGAAAAAGAATTTTTCATGTTCGAATCTTTTATATAATAATATTTTGAATATGTTTTAAATTTTGAAAGAAATTCTTTTTTAACAAAAGTCTTTGGTATGTATGAAATCATTTCCGAAGGATAAAATAAGTATTTTGTAGTTATGGAAAATCTCTTTTATGGAATTAATAAAGAATTTATTAGTATTTATGATCTTAAAGGTTCAAAAATTAATAGATTTCTAAAAGATGGAGATGTTGGTTTAGATACTAATTTTATTATTGATTTTAATTCTGAACCATTATTTTTTAAAGAGGAAGTTTTCACTAAAATTTATAGGTTTTTATAAAGTGATTCGGAGTTTTTGGCTAAAAGATTTGTAGTTGACTATTCTTTGTTAACTATTATTGATAAAGAAAAGTAAAGTGTTAGATTAGGAGTTATTGATTATTTTAGGTAGTATGATTTAAGTAAAAAAATAGAGTTTGAAATGAAAAAATTCATTTTTAAAGAAGATCCTACTATTATTAGTCCTGATAGATATTAATAAAGATTTTGTAAAACTTTGAGTAAAAAGTACTTTGCGAAAGTATGGTGAAATAACTTTTTTTTTTAGGTTTTTTATAAGATAATTTCTTTTTATTATTTAAATATATGTATAAATAAATGTATATTTGTTTTAAATAATATTTTTTATTATATTTGAATTATTTAGTTATGTTTTAAATATATATGATATATATAAATAATTAAATTTATATATAATTTAATATTATTTATCCTTTTATTTTATTTTTATAATCATCCAATTTATAAATTTTGTTTAATATATAAATATTTATTATTTTGCTAAAATAAATTGAATTTCCATTTTAAAAATTTATTATTTTTGTATTGTATTTTATTTTAAGTTTTTTTTTTTTTTTTAAAAAAAAAAAAAAAAAACAAAACAAACACATTTAAAAAAAAAATATTAATATAATATTAAATATTATTTAGAAAAAAACTTATTTTCAAAATTACTAAATAAATAAACTTTTAAAAAGAAAAAGAAATCATCAACATTTAAATAAATAAATAAAAACATAAATAAATAAATGTAACTAAACAATTAAAATAATATAGAACAAACAGAAGTAAATTTTATATAAAAAGACAAACAAAATATAAAAATATTCAAAAAAATAAATTAAATTTCGAAAAAAAAAAAAGACCAAAAAGAAACTAAAAAAACCAATAAAGCTTTCTAAAAAAGCATAAGAATTTATTCCTGATGATCCCGAAATAATAAATAATTACTTATAAAAAATGCAAGATTAATAAATAGTTAATTAAATACAAAATCCTATTGATGATATTTATTAATAAATAGATTGTTTGCCTCCTCCATTTGATGAAAATGGGAATAAAACTGGATAATGGTTTGAAGGAACATATGAATTTGGAGAATGGTATTTTGATTTGAGCGGAAATCCTGTATTTATATCTCCATCAGAAGAAGGTGATATTATAGGGGATTTATATGACTAAAATAGTGAAATATATATGGAATATGCTACTGATTAATTTGGGAATTTATTACCATTAATTCTAATGACATAGGATTTTTAATATTTTGAGTTTATTCCTTAAATGTATTATAAGTTTGTTTATGATAGTATGGAAACTTACTTTCTTTAGACTATGAGTAAATAAAAGAAAGAAAAATAAAAAAAACTTCATAGTTGCCAAAAAAAGATCCTCCTCCAGCAAGAATACCTAAACGTCTTTTAGGAAAAGAAGGAGTCTAATAAAATAAAATTAATAACAATATAAATAATAATAATTCAGATTATAAATATGAGAAAATTATAAATATAGAGGAAGTTATTGAAATTGAAAAAAAAATTCTAAAATAAAATCAAGATTATCATCCTGTGGATAGAGAAAGGGGTTCTTTGAATATCGTTTTCATAGGGCATGTTGACCATGGAAAATCTACACTTTCAGGACGTATTTTAAAAAATTGTGGAGAAGTCGAAGAATAGGAAATTCGAAAATATGAATAAGAAGCCAAAGAAAATAGCCGTGAGAGTTGGTCCTTAGCCTATATTATGGATACTAATGAAGAAGAAAGAACTAAAGGAATCACTGTGGAATGCGGAAAAGCTCACTTTTAGCTTCCTTAAAGACGTTTTGTGTTAATAGATGCTCCTGGACATAAAAATTACGTTCCCAATATGATTACAGGAGCTTGCCAAGCAGATGTTGCAGCTTTAGTTATTTCGGCGAGGCAAGGTGAGTTCGAGGCTGGATTTGAAGGAGGATAAACATAAGAACATGCACATTTGGCAAAAGCTTTAGGTGTTCAACATGTAATTTGTATAGTTAGTAAAATGGATGAGGTTGGATGGAGTAGAAATAGGTATGTGAAAATAAAAGAATAAATGGAAACTTTTTTGAGATAGGATGTAGGTTTTTAATCTATTGATTGGGTTCCTGTAAATGGATTGTAGAATGAAAATATTGATGTGAAGGTACCAGAAGAAAAATGCTAATGGTTTTAAGGACTTACACTTTTTTAAACACTAAATTAATGCCCAGTGCCTGCTAGGAATTGTAATGGGGCTTTAAGAATTCCGGTTTTAGATAAAATTAAAGAATAATAAGGATTTTTTGTGTTAGGGAAAATCGAAAGTGGAACTGTCAAAGAAGACATGTGTATTACTGTTATGCCTAATAAATAATAGGTTCAAATATAAGCTATTTATAATACAAAAGATTAAAGAGTATTTTATGCATCAGCTGGAGAAAATATCAAACTCAAAATTAAGGCTGGAGAAGATAAAGATATTGAAAGAGGATTTGTTTTTTGTAATACTGATGATTTGTGTTTTGTTACTTAGTGTTTTATAGCAGAAATTAATATATTGAAATTACCAGATCATAAGCCGATACTTTCTTAAGGATATTCATGCGTTTTACATATTCATACTTCTGTGATAGAAGTTGAAATTGAATAAGTTGAAGCTGTGATGAATCTGGATAATAAAAGGCTTAACAAAATTTCGTTTTTGAAAAGCGGGCAAATTGGAGTTGTTAAAATTAGTGTATTTTTTTATTTTTTCTATATATTTTTATTAATAGCTTTTTTATTATTTAAAGCTTAAAAATTCTCATCTGTGTCTTGAAAAATTCGAGAAAATATAAAATTTGGGAAGATTTACTTTGAGAGATGAAGAGAAAACTATAGGATTTGGAAAAGTTATGAAAATTAAACCTTTTTAATATTGATTTATTTAGATTGAGTATACTTTTTTTTATTTTGTTTACTTTATAAGTAAAATAAATGAAAAAATTAGAGGCGAAGAAAATATTTTAATACATATTAATATTTTGAAAATATTATTATATATAAAATAAATTTTATTAGAAATGCATATATGTTATTTATTTTTAAATTTATTGTATTATTTTTATAATATTTATATATAATTAAAATAATATATTTGTATATAAAATATCTATCAAAATTATAATTATATTAAAAATATTAAAGTAAAAGAAAATAAAAATAAAAAAATTTTAATATATTTAATTACAAATTATAAAATAAAAATTTATTAATAATATATCAATTTATATATATATATTTATATATATAAATATATATATATATATTTATATATTATAAATAATATTAATTCTCAAATAATATATAATACTTTATAATTCATATTATAATAAGCATCTAATTCCAAAATTCAATAATTTTCATATTTTAAGTAAATTATTAACTTATTTTTTTCTAATTTTTTGTTCATCCTCAGTAAAATAAACATTAGATTTAATATTATTTTCAGAACCAATCCAATTACCGTTTCTATAAGGAAGTTATTAAATAATGCAAGGTTCAATCTAAAAATTTTTTCTGATTTTAACCATACAAGCCTTATTACCATATTTTCCCATAAAATCAGTTTAACTCGAAATAGTAGTGACAGTTCCTTATTTATTTCTATGAATTCCTTCCAGAACACATTCACTAGATCTAATAATCATATTAAGTCCTGTTTCTTATAAGAATTTTTCTACTTTTTTTTCCGAAAAGTTAAACGTTTATGCATTTCCGAATAAATCTTTTTATTTATTTTCACTATTTAATACTACATCACTTTCTAAATAATCACTAAACAATAAATCATAGACTATAGGATTTTAAAAAGCACTTATGGGTCTTTTTATATCCATAATATCATTCACATGGTTTACATTAGGGCCTAAACCTCCAGATACAAACATAATATAGTCTTCACAAAGGGCTGCAAGAGGAAGTGCATCAAAAACTCTATTTATTCTATTATATATAGAATGGAGGTCTTGTATATCATCTGAAAGGCGAATTGCACATTCTTCACCGAAACCAAAAAGCTTGTTTATTTTTCTTTCTTCATGTGCTCCTTTTAAAAGATGGAAAGAATCTGGAAATTTGCATTTTAAAGCGAATAAAAGAAGTACTGTTTCTAAAGAATTAAATCCTCTATCTACATAATTTCCTAAAAATAAATAATCGAATTTTTCTATATCTCCATCTTCTATTGGACAGCCAAAACTATCAAAAAACCTTAGCAAATCTCCAAATCTACCGTGAATGTTTCCAAATATTTTCAAAGGAACTCTCAATCGTAAAACTGTGTGTTATTAAATAACTTTTTAATATGTTTCTTCACAAAGTCTTATTATTAACTCTTTTTTAAAAGGTAAACGGATTTCATTATATTTCCATTCTTATGGTTTCTTGCCTAAAGTATTAATAAATATTTCAAATAAATTCGATGTTTATTAATCTGAAGGTTATACCATCATTAACATAGACTATTCATTATATTCTGAAGCGTTTAATTTTCTAGATTCTTCTTATAAATCTAAAAGATTGACTTTCTTTATATTATTTCCTGCACTACTGTTACTATTATTATTATTATTCTAGTAATTGCTTTAATTTTCGAAATCTTATAGTGTAGTTGTGGCTACTACTACTTAATTGCTTAGTCGAATATCTCTATTATTACTTTATTATTTTATTGGTGTATGAGACCTTTATTTTTATTTTAAGTCTACTTAAAATTAGCTTTAAAATTTATTCTCTTTTGTCAAAAATTGATTATTTTTTTCCAAAAAAGTATTATTTTTTTCCAAAATTTAATTTTTTTCCAAAATTTACGTTTAATTTTATTCAAAAATATATTATTTTTCATTAAATAAATTCTTCTCATTTAAAACACCTCCTTTTTTATTAAAAAATAAATCCTTTAAATCCACTTAAATCATTGTTTCTAAAGGTTTATTAGGAAATTAAGGTTCAAATCCTCCATGGACATACATATTTTCTTCAAAAATAACTAAACTGTGCCTATATCTATTAAAGCAAGTCATTTTCCGCCATTCACTATTTTCAGTATCATAAATATCTATAAAGCTTCCCTATTCATCTGTATTTTCGATAGTTCTTCCTCCCACAACGATCATTTAATTTCCCGAAAATTCTGTTTTATGTTAATATCTACCAACAGGCATATATCCATTTTATTTATAAGGCGCCTAAATCCAATCCCAAACGCCATTTCTATGCCTTCTAAGACCCCAAGTGTCATTCAAAGGAACCTATTCTTATGAGCGACCTCCAAAAATTATAACCATTCCATTTGCAGAGCCTGAAGAACAGATAGAAGCTGAATGATAAACTCTTGGGATTGGCTAATCTTTACTTTAAGTGCATTATTTTTGCCATTGATATGGTTATTTTTCGAAATTTAAAGTCCATACGTCATTGACCTTTTAATTTTTTAATTTATTTTTAAATTTTTATTTAATTTATTTTGTATATATCATTTTAATTATTTGTACATATATATTTTTTTTACAGAAACTAAACCTGTGTTTCCTCCAAAAACTATTAAATTAGGCTTTTGATATATCATTATATGCCCATATCTTTTACCTGGTGAAATTCCTGTTGTTGGAACTTTTACAAAGGCTGCACTTGTAATGTTATTAGTATTGTATTTTATGTTTAACAAATATAAATCATCATTTGAAAGTCCACCACTTCCTGATGCCGCACCTCCAAATATCATTATTTGGTTTTATTCAAATTGACATGAAGCATGTGCAGCTCTTTATGAAGGAATTTCACCTATACAATCAAGCTTTTCCCATTTTTACAGTTCGAAATCATATTAATAGGTTTCATTTGTGATTATAAATTTACCAGAATCTCCTATAGCGCCACCAAATAATATTGCTTTTGATTTGGTTATCATAGTTAAGGTATGACCAAAACGGGCTTATGGTTTTATTTGTCCATTAAATTTTATTTGTTAGAAATTTAGTTAATGCATTTTTTATATTTTTTGTTTGTTTATGTATGAGTTTGCTTTATTAAATTTTATATTGTTTGTTTTTTTTATGAGAAATAGTTGTTTTTTAATAGCTAATTTTTTAAATTTAAAATTATAAAATGCTTTTTTTATATATATATTTATATTTTTTTACAAAGATTAATGTATTTATATGTTGTTTGCTTTTTTTTTTTTTGTATTTTTTTTTTAATTTGTAAGTAAAAAATATATGCTTATATAGGCTTTTTTTTCTTTTTAAATTAATTGTTTTTACATACAAAAATATATATTAAATTTGCTATTTATATGAATTTTTATAATTTAGTATATTATTTATATATATTATAAATTTCAATAATCATTATGACTTAAATTAAATTCATATATAAAAAAAAAATTAGGATTATTTATTATAAAAAATTTTGAATATAAGAATTTTTAATAACAAAAAAAAAAATCTTAATTTGTAAAATTTTTAGTTAGTTTTATAAAAGAAATAAAAAAAACATAAATTAATATTATAAAAATTTAAAAAAATAAATTAAGAATTTTTTTATTTATTTATAAAATAAAATAAACTGGAATCAAATAAAACTAAAATAAACTGGAATATAATAAAACTAAATAATATACTATGCTACAACAAGAAAGCTAAATGCAAAATACACTAAAACAAAATGTTGAATTAAAAACATATTAAAAATCAACATAAATAAGAGGATGATAATGATGAATAAAATATTCAAGAAATGATATAAAAAATTTTTTAAAATACATATAATAAATCAAGAAATAATATATTTAAAAAAATTTCAAAAACTCCAACAAATATTAATAAATTATAAAAAATTAATAGAACAAATAATAGAATATAAATAATGATAATTTATATTTTTATATAAATGTATATTATATTGTATGTTTTCGTTTGTTTAAAGAGTAACATCCGTCATAATAATAATAATAATAATTTATAAAATAAAAATAATTAGTTAAGACTTTATAAAAAAATAATAAATAAATATTAATATATGATGATTTCAAGTATATAAGTTTTGCTTTTTTATATTTTAAAATATCTGATTTAATATTATATATTTTTCATTTTTCTGAATAAATTTTATTAATTTGAATTCGATAAATATAGTTTATATAAATATACACATAATTTTATAAATAAAAAATACATAATGAATTTTTTTTAAAAATAATATTATATAAAAAAGTATAATATTTAATAATCTATTTAGATAATTATTATTATTTTTAAATGATTATAATAAATATTTTTATTTAGTAAATAAATAATTAATTAATAATATTATTATAATTTAGGAAAATAAAAAAATTATTTTTATCATTTATTTAGAATAAAAATATTTAATTAATATAATATTATATATTCAAAATTATTAAAACATTTATAAATTATTTAAGTTTTATATATAATCTTTATTTATTATTATTTGAATAAATAAAAAAAAGCTTGCAACTTTAATAATAATATTGAATTTAAATATTAAATTTTAATATTATTTTTTATATTCTTTTTAAAAATTTAATTAAAAAATATTAATAATTATATTTTTTTAAATAATATATTTATAATTTAACATAACTTTAGAATTTTTAAAATAAGTAATTTGATATGATATATCTATTTTTAAAACAATATTTTATTTTATTTTCCTAATTTATTTTTAATTAATAAAAATATGTAAAAAAAATAAAATATTAAAACTATAAAAATATTTAAGTTCTAAACATTTAATTTTTTTTTTTTTTTTTAAAAAAAAAAAAAAAACCAAAAGTTGTGAAAATATTTGAGACGAAAAATATTAAAAAAATAAAAATAAAAATTATAATTCATTATTAAAATATAAAATTATACCTAAATTTAAAAATAATAATTATGAATTGTTCATTAAGTAATTTTTTAGAAAAGAATTCTAAAATCCAAAAAAAAAAAGAAAAATCCAAATTAACAAACAAATCAAATAATTTATAAACATTTTTTAAACAAACATAAAAATAAACAAATAATTAAATTAAACAAAATCTTCATTAACAGTAAAAATAAGTATAGCAAAAAAATCAATTAAATATTATCTGTTCTTGGCCAAAATAAATTAATTAATAATTATCACCATTAACAAGTAATGAAAAACATTAAATAATAGATATTAAGGATAAGTTCTAACAGATAATTTTAATAGCTAAAAAAATATAAAATTAATCAAATTATATTCGTATTTCAAATTCCTAATCAAAATTTCGTCCCCTTTAATCATACCGATAACCATAAAGTTTTATTTAAAATTAAACTAATTACTGTATTGAAAATCCTTTAAAAAATTATCAATAAGTAGGATTTAATAGCCCTTAATCTGCTTATTAAGAAATAAATACACTCTTAGAAGATGATACCTAACTAAAATAATAAGGTTAATTATAATAATAAAAATTTATCTAATAATAACAAAATTAAAAAAAACACATCATAAAGTCAGAAAGCAAAAGGTATTGGCTTTAAAAACAGCTTCTAGTTAATGCAAATTATGAATTTAATCAATAAAATTAATATAAATATGTAGTTAACAAAGGAAATAATAGTGATTTAGTAAAGATAGTAATGCAAAAAAGATAAAATTGGTAATTAATACAAAGTCATAATTCTGCTTATAATTTTAGATGGGCTCCAACCTCTTAAGGAATTAAATTTGAAAGAATTGGTTTAGGAATGAAATAAATAGTAAATCATTTCGAGTTTCATTAATAAATATCATGCAAATTTTAATTAGTTAAGAATTTAAAATTCTATTGTGAAACAAACAAAATTAATATTTTTTCGTTTACTCCTATATCATTCCTTATTGATTTAAATGATGAATAATGTGAGCTCGAATTGGGAAGATTTGCCTCTTTTTTTTATAAAAATATGCCTTAAAAACAGAATTAAATTAAAAGAAAAGTTTAAGATTTCAAAAAAAAAATGAAGCCAACAATGACTTATTTTACAGGGTGTGCAGATCATTCTAAGAAAAAAATAAATTCTTATTTAAAACCTAAAATAAATCCATCATATGTAAATGGAGATAGTTATCTTTGGCTTCTTAAGCCTACAAATACTAATAGAGGAAGTGGCATTTTTATTTTTAATACTTTGGATGAACTAGAAAAACACATATTTTAATTTCAATAAGGTGTAGAGGAAAAAAATCTTTAAAATGAGGAGAAGTAAAATGTTAATAACGTTAGTATAATCAAGTGTAGTCAATTTGTCATCCAAAAATACATAGAAAGACCTTTTCTTATCCATAATAGAAAATTCGATATTCGTATTTGGGTTCTATTAACACATTAATTGAGTGTATTTTAATTTAAAGAAGGTGTTATTAGAACTTCAAGTAAATAATTTAGTTTAGAAAGTGATTAAATAAATAATTGCTTTATTCATTTAACTAATAATGCAATTTAGAGATTTTCAGATAATTATGGAGAATTCGAAAAGGGTAATTAGTTGAGTTTATAATCTTTTTTTGAATACTGCAAAAAAGTAGATCCGAATATCGATATAGAAAAAATGCATTCTGAAATGAAAAATATAACTATGATGACTATGTAAGCTGCAAAAAAGAAAATAAATGCAGAAAATATAAAACATACTTTTGAAATTTTCGGATATGACTTCATTATTGATTATAAATTTAATATATTTCTTATTGAAGTAAATACTAATCCTTGTTTGGATGAGTCTTCTCCCCATTTATAATAATGCCTTAAAAGAATGCTAGATGATGGTTTTAAATTAACTGTAGATTAAATATTTCCAAAAAAACAAAAAGATTATCCTTTTTTTAAATCTAATTCTTAAGTCTATATTAAATAATCATTGCTTTAAAAAAACAGTATGCCTGAATCGTTAGAATAATAAGATAATCTAAATTTAGGATAAAATGAAGGAAATAAAAAAGGTACTAAAAGTTTAAATAATTCCTGGCCTATAGATGGTTTTTCTAATTAGGAAAATATGTGGGAATATTTAGGGTCTATTTATTATAAGACAGTTTCTAAATCTATTAATTAAAGGAAGCCTTTTTGATTTTTTTTTTTTTTTAAATATATAAACATTTTTTCATTTTTATTTTTATATTTCTTAGAGGGTATATTTTATATATTATTAATTAATGTGTATTTATGTTGTTTAATTATTTCAAATTTTGAAAAAATCATTTTAAAATTGTGGGTTTTTTTATAAGATATTTTTTTTTTTTACTAAACGAAGTTATTATTTTACATACTTTTTCTATTTATAATAATGCTAAAAATAAAGCATATATTAAAATTTTAAATAAGAAACATTTTTTTATTTTTTTAATTTAATTTAAATCTTTAAATGATAAAATATAATTTAATTTTTTATAAAAATAAATAATATGTTTACCCATATATATAATAATAATATTTTATTATTTTTTATAAAAAAAAAAGAAAAGAAAAAAAAATAAAAAAAAAAGAATTACATTTATAAAAAAAAAAGAAAAAAAATGATAAAAAGTAAATTTAAATATTAATTTATTTTAAAATTATAAAAAATAATTAAACTTTAAAATAGTTTAAAAATTAAATTAAGAAGAAAAAGAAGATGAAAATAAGTTTAATTGTAAAATATTAAAAAAATATATTAAATAAATAATATATAAAAAAAAAAGAATAAAATAATTAATTACCAAAAATTGGATAAAAATTATCTTATTAATATTAAAAACAAATTTAATAACATACATCTTTTAATTAAAAAGTATAGCCAATTATTATAAACTCTAGTATTAATAATATTTAAATAAACACACGAGCTAGCTAAATTGCTGAAAATTAAATTTGCAAATAACAAAATATTTAAGAACCAAACATTACCAAAGATAACCATTAAAATTTTTTAGTAAAATAAAATAAAAATATATGAATATATTTTAAATTAAATAAATAGTATATTTTATATTTAAAATATAAACAAAGCCAATATTTAATAAAAATTATTAATAGAATAATATAAAACAATAGATTCTTTAAAATCAATAAGGATTAGCATAAATCAAAATCTAAAATTAGGAGCAAATTAAAAAAATTGACAAGATAATAACCTAAACTATAATAAAGAATTCTTAGAAATCCGATTTACATAAATCCTAGAGTATATCAGAAAAATAGAAACAAACATCAGAATTAGATAATTATAAAATAGGAGCTGAAATAGGTTATTTTAAACAAACTATTAAATAACAAATTATCAAAAAAATAAAAAAAAAAAAAAGGAAAAGGATCTTATGCTTCAGTAAAAATAGCAAAATGTATAAGAACTAATTAAGAAGTTGCAATAAAAATATACGATAAATTCAAATTATCAGATTAACAGAATAAAAAGAATGTAGAAAGAGAAATATAAATTTTAAAAGAAATATAACATCCGAATTGTATCGAACTATATTAAATATTCGAAACTTAAAAATGTATATATGTTGTTATGGAATATGTAGGAAAAAGTTCACTTTATACATATTTGAAAAGCTTTGAAGGAAGAAAAGTACCTGAAGATGAAGCTAAGAGAATATTTAAATAAATAATGAAGGGAATGGCTTATTTAAATAGTTAAAATATTGCACATAGAGACATTAAGTTGGAAAATATATTAATGGATGATACTAAAAATATAAAAATTATTGATTTTGGATTTGCAACTTCGTCTTTAAAAAAATTAAATGTCTTTTGTGGAACCCCTAATTATATGGCCCCTGAGATTATAGCTAAAAAAGAATATTTTGGACCTCCTGCTGATATTTGGGCTTGTGGTGTAGTTTTATTTCTCATGCTAGCTGGAAGATTTCCATTTAACGGAATCGATGATAAAAGTTTATATACTAAAATTAAATCAGGAATATTTGAATATCCTGAAAATATTTCATATAGTGCTTAATAAATGCTAAATAAATTACTTTGTGTTAATCCTTTAGAAAGAATTTCTGCTGAATAAGTTCTTTGTAGTATGTGGATTAGTCCTATGAACAAATATAAAAAAATTACTTAAGATAAATTATGATTTTATTTATATAAATGTTTTAATTACTGTTTTTTATAAAATATAATAATAATATATTTTTATTTTTGTTTATTCGAAAAAAGAAAATATAAAATATTTATTTTATATAACTTATAAAGTTTGAAAAAAAAAAAAAAAAAATATTTAACATTTTTATTATGTAGTTCTTATTATTTAATATTAAAAATTAAATATAATTTATTTTTAATATATATATATATATATAAAATGAAAATGGGATATATATAAGTAAATTTTAATTAATATTATATATTAATACTTATTTTAATTTATTATTATCTATTTATATATAATTATTATCTCTACTTTTTTATTATAACATTATTTTAATAATTTTTAATTCTATTATTTTTTTGCAATTTATATATTTAGAGATAAAATATAGTAATCAATATTACCAAAATTATTCTATTAATTATTTAAGTCTCCATATATATTTTTATAATCTCTAGAAACAGCCATCTTTTTAAAATCTTCTCAATATTATTTGCTTCTATAATTATTTTAATATTACTAAAAATATTACCTTATAACCCTATTTATTTATTAGCCTATTTAAAATTCAAAGCCTAAAAATCTATATCGTAATTTTATTAATTATATTACACATTTATTCAAATACTTCTTCCTTAATTAAAATCTCATTTTTCTTATATTGTCATGAATAAAATTTCTACTCAAATTTCTGTTTCTTTATTTATAATTATTGTTTATTTTTTTAATAAAATCAAAACTTTATTTTAAATATATTTCGATAAACTTCTTTTCGATTTCTCTATACCTATTTTACTCATTAGCTTTATAATAATTACTTAATGAATATATTAGATCATGTTAAGTAGCTTATTAATTTGTTAAAAGTGAATGCATTTTTATACTTTTTTATAAAGCCTATTTACATCTTTTACCCTAAAACAAGATTCTAAACCAAACATTTCATATAAAGCATATCTTAAATACCAAATATCACTCATTTTTTCATAAAGTTAATACCTCTAAATTTCATAACAGGCATAATAAGGAGTTTGAGTATAAACAAGGTCTGATTTATTTGTAATTTTTATAATATTTTATATTACCTAAAATATAAATGCTTTATTTTAATGCTTATATAAATAATAAGAGAAGTATTTTTTTATTTTTTAACTAATTTTATATACATTTTTTAATTTATCAGTTTAAAAAGATATTGCCATATTTTAAATCTCTATGTAAAGTATTCATATTATGAAGTTATTTTAATCTTTTTATTATAAAAAATATAGCTTTCCTTATTTCCGCTTCTGTAAATTTAGAATGGTTTTATATGGAATTATATTTATTATTATAAATCTCCTTTTCAGTGATATTTTTATTCCATTTATAAATGTCTGTTTGTAAATTATTATATAATCGAATGCTTAAGAGGCTGATTTTAAAAACTTCTTTTAATACATTATGTCTCTCTCCCTCTTTTTAACTTAGTTAGGGCATTTTTAGCTTTATCATTGTATATATATATATATATGTAACTTATTTTTGTTTTACTTTATATACTTGAAAATTCGAACCTTTACAAATTTATAGAATTGTTTTCGGAAGCTTAGAGTATTTTTTATTATTTAATCTATTTATTTTTGTTAATTATTAATAAAATTTATTTATCTATATGAATCAATATTTATGTATTTTCTTTCGATAAAAAATCTTATTTATTAATTGTTGTGAATTTACTTTTAAAATATTTATATAGAACTATTTAAAAAAGATAAAAATAAAGTATTTATCCCCTATATGATTTGAATAGTTATTATTTATAGTTTGAATGTAAAAAATAATAAGAATTTCTATAAAATAAGAAATAAATATATTTTTCAATGTTTAAATAAATAATTATATAATTGTGTAAAATAAACATAAACATAATTAATTAAACTACTATTATTTTAAATTACTTTTTTTATATTTAAATATTTAAAAAAAAAAAAAAACAAAACAAAAACATTAATTTTCAAAGACAAATAGAAACAAAAAAACAAAAAAATGAATCCAATTTAAAAAGCACTTTATAATTTTTAATTATAAATATAAAAAAATATCTAAAGTAGAGAAACAAAACAAAAAAAAAGATTTAACTAAAATTTTATTATTATTTTTTTTTTTTATAAAAAAATAAAATAAAATAAAGAAAATCATTAGCAACAATAATATTAGCAAAATAAAGTATTTTTATTTTCAGAAAATGAAAGTTAGGAATTAAGGAATGATCTATTATAATAATAGGAAACTTAAATATTTACAAAGCAAAACGATTTTTCAAATTCAGAATATTCTAGTAATTCTTATTTTAGTAAAGCCCAAAAGTTAATACATCAAAATAACTCAAATGCAAATTCGCAAAGCAAAGAATAATATACGCCTAAATTTCAAAGAAATACATCATAAGATAATTTAAATTTCTAAATTTGTGAAAGTTAATAAGTCTCGAATTTTATTTGTGAAAAAAAGAAGAGTAATTTGTTATAAGAAACATTTTAAGAATAGAAATTCTAATAAAATAAATTTTTGGAAATCCCTTAAAGTAAAATTTAAGTGTTTTCTCCAAAGAAGAAACCAGAAAAAATAATATTACCTCATAATGTTAATGTATATAAAAAATGTTTAAGTAATTTTAATGTAAATATTGATTTTAAATATTAAAAACATTCTTAGAATAATTTAAAACTTATTGATTAAAGAATAAAATTGTAATTAGATTAAAAAATACCTATTTTGAATAAAAATAATAAAGATGATTTAAATAAACTAAGGTCTGTTAGTGATAACTAGAATTATTTAAATTAAAATTCAAATAAAAAATAACAAAATTTGGAGTTTTTAAAAAATAATAATAAGAACTTAAAGCTAAACAGTCAAAATAATAATTAATTTTCTAATTTTTAATAAAAAAATAATAATTTTTTATCAAAAATACAATCCTAAAAAAGCCTAGTTTAATAAAATAAATAAAACCTTTTAAATTTGAATTTTTAGCAAAATGTAATAATTTTTTATGAAGAAAAAAAAAAAAAAAATTTATAAAAAAAAATAATAATAATTATTTTATAAAATATAAATAATAATAATAATAATATATAAGAAAATAATAATTTTATATAAGAAAATAATAATTTTATATGAAAAAATTATAATTTTTTATTTTTTTTAATAATAAAAGACTGATTTAATTAATTTAGAAAAAGAAACAACTAAATTAATAAATCTAATCAAACCAAATAAAATTTCGGCTTACAATTCCCCTGAAAGATTCCTTATTTCAGACGAAGTAAAATTTGATAGTAATTTATTTTCAAAAGAAACCTAATTTTATTCACCAACTGGATAATAAATTTCATTGAGTAATTTTAAAAATTATCCAAATACTCCTTCTCCTTAAATGAAAATTTCTAAGTAAGTTTAATAAAATAGTTTTAAATTTAGATTATAGCAACAATATAATAATACTTAATAGTAATAGAAAACTTTTCAAATAAATAAAAATTTTTAAAGAGTATAAATATTTTTATATTTTTAATCATTATTTATATAATCAGTAAAATTAAGGCATAAAAAGTTTCATTAATATTCAAAAATAATAAAATGCTTTTGAAGATTAAGCTCATAAGTTTAAATAATAAAAAATAGAATTCCTTAGTAAATATAATAGTAGAAAACAAAGTACAAAAGATATTATTCAAAATTAATCTTCTTTAACTAATAGAAAAATAAATAATAATATCAATATTAATTCGAATTAATGTCCTTTGTTAAATGCTTTGAATAAAATTTAATTATAGATAAAATAGTAAAATAACTAAAATTAAACAAAAAAACAAAATAAAGAATAAAATTAGCTTCATTCCTTTCTTAAGTAAATTTATTTAATTTATAAAGCTTTTTAAGAAAAAAAAAAAAGTAAAAAAGAAGATAATAATATATCATTTATAAATAAAAAATATGTAATTTAATAAAAAAATATTTCATATTTATTTATATATTATAAGAATAAATTGTTTTAAAAAGAAAAATTTAGTATTATTGAATAAAAAGAAAACTAAAAAAACTAATCTAATTTCAATAATAAAATATCAAATTTATAAAGTTTCAGTAAAGTAATATAAAATAAAAATATAAAAAAAACATTTATATTATAAATAGTATTGGAATAAATATAATAAATAGAAATTATATTGATAAAAAAAAGGTTATACTAATTATATTGTATATAAATAATTTTATAAGAATTAGTATTATTAACAAACCTTTATAAAGAAACAAAATATATTAGAAAAGACATTTTTTAAAAATTTATATTTATTTTTTATTTATAATAAAAAAATATAATAGATTAAAAAATAAATTTTCATTAATTATATATTTAATAAAAACTATTTTTATATTTAATTTAAAATTTATATAAAAATGAATACTGAATCAAAAAAAAAGAAATATATATATATATTTTTATATATTTATAATTTTTTTTTTCATTTTTCTATAAATAAAATTAAATTTAGTTTTATGTTTAAATATTTTTACTCTAAACAAATATAATTTTAATAATGACTATAAATAAAATTATTTATAGTATTTTTTTTTTTTTATAATTAATCATTATATTTTTTATCTTTATTTTATTATTTATTTGATTTTTGTATGGTTTTCAATAAAAATTTTATTCTAAACTAATTTATACAGATATTTTTTTAGTATATAATTTTCATATCTAAATTAAAATCATATAATATATTTTTTTATATGAATAAAAATGAAAAATAATTAACATAATTTATTTGACAAATTATAATTTTTTTTAATGTGTTATAAGTATTAATTTTTAACTTTAAAAAAATAAAAATATATTAATTATTTAATAACTTATTTTTTATTTTATTTTAAAAATATAAATTATTATAATAAATACTTTTAAACAATATTAATAGCTTAAATAAATAAAAATTATATTATATTATATTATATTTTATATTATAAATTTATATAATAATTCTTGAATTAATTTTTTATAATTTATTTTTATAATAATCATTTTTTTTTAGTATTTGAATCTATTTATAAAGAAATAGTATTTTCAAAAGTTTATTTTTTTTCAAATTCATCATCTTATTTTCTTATAGTTTCTTAATTTTATAATTATAATTAACATTATTATTACTATAATTATGATTCCTTTAGTTTTTTATTTTCATTATTATATTTAAGTAAATGTGTAAGTATTTATTTTGTGTATTTTAATCTTTTTGTCATTTCTTAATTCTTCGAATCCATTGCTTCGGAAAGTATATAATAAAATTTTTCTCCTTGTTTATTTACAAATATAACATTTTTATCTTAACTATTTAGAATTATTTCAGTTTTATCTGTAAATTGTACTTATACACTTTTATTTGAGAATTTAAACAAAATGGCATGTTTTGTATTCATAAATTTTTTAACATAAATAGAATTTTAATCCTTATTTTATTAAACATTTATTTGCAGTCCTTAAGTACTATTAAACTCCTTTTATTATTCTTCTTACAAATAATTCCTAAAATGCTACATCAAAGTAATTTTTTTTTATAAAGATAAAGGAAAATCTGCAAGAGTATATTATTTAATAACTTCTTAATTATTTTCAACTTTGCATGCATATTATATATTTTCACCTTTTGGATCTATTAGTATTTTTGTATTATCATTAAAAACAACTCCAGAAGAGCCATTTGAAAGTAAATATCCAAGTCCGTACTTAGAACTATAATCCACATAATAACAAACATAAGTTTCGTTTTTGGCCTCCTCATTAATTTTTGTTTCCTTGAATCTGTAAGTGGCCGCACTTTCAAAATATTTAAAATCGTTTGATTATTATATTTTTACTTATTGTAAATTAACACTACTAATAGCTTGATTCTTTATTTTTTCTTAAAGTTCAGTTTATTTATTTTTTATGGAATTGGTTGTTTGACTTTTATGAAAATAAACTATAACATCTTTTTATTTTGCGTTTTATTATTAGGGAGCAAATTATTTTAAAAATTGATAATTTGGTGCATTTTAGAGTGTTGAATTAGGTAAATGTTTCGGAATAACTCCACCATTATTTAAAAAGGGATGAGATAAGATTTAGTCTAAAGTAAGTCGTTTTGAAGGATCTTATAGAAGAATATTTTAAATTAAATTTTTAGCGTTTTCATTTATTTAAATATTTTCAGGAAACGAATAATTATTTTATTTTATTTTTTTATATGTGGATTTAACTTCCTAAGTTTCAAAAGGTGGCCTTCCTATTAGTAATGTATATATAATGACTCCTAAAGACCATATATCAACTTCGTATGAATGTCCTACTTTACCATCTAAAATTTCAGGAGCAATATAATTTGGAGTACCACATATTGTACGTTTTTTTTCTCCGTCAAATTCAAGTTTAGTAGCTAGACCAAAGTCTCCTAATTTAATTTCCATTTTTTCCCCAATAAATAGGTTACCCAATTTAAGATCTCTATGTATTACTCGATTAAAATGAATATATTTTAAGGCATTTATTATTTATACCGTATAATATTGTGTTTCTAAATCAGATAAACGTTTTCGTCTTTTGATTAATTCATTTAATGTTTAATAAGGACATAATTCTAATAATATATATACGTTATCATTGTCTTCAAATACATGCTCGAATTTAACTATGTTTTAATTATGAAGACTTTTATGTATTTTTATTTCTGATACTAGTTTTTATCGAGAACGGTTTTTTTATAAAGTGCTTTTTGGCATTATTTTAGCTGCCATTATTTTTTTTGTTTCTATGTTTGTGATTTAAAAGCATTTTGCAAAACCACCTTTCCCAAGCAAATTTCCTTGTAAGTATTTTTTTATTATTGTGTCGCCGTTTACTGTTTATATTTTCTCTTCTATTATTTATTATTGTTATTCACCTTCATCTCCATTTTATCTTAACATTTTTGTTGATTTTTTTTTTTTTTTGATTATTATTAAGTAAAATAAAGTGATTTAAGTTAATTATAAAACATATATATAAATGTATAAATACAAATTAGAAAATATTAGAAATATAAATAAATTAAATTTTATATTATAAAGTTATTAATTAACTATATATGTTTTTAATTTATATATTCTTGATTTTTTTTTAAAAAATATTTTTTATATATTGAAATATAAATTCCTTTTAAATCATATAAAAAACTTTTAAGTAATTAAATATAAAACATTGATTATGAAAAGCTGATTTTTTTTTGAAAAAAAAAAAGAAAAAAATTGGTTTATATAAAATATATTAAATAAATATGTAATTTTTATTATAATAATTAAATATTTTAATCATAAAATTTCAAATTTTTATAATTTTATATATGAATATATAATTTTTATTTTATTTTAATGCAATAAATATTTATATATTTTTTTATTATATTTTTTTTTGATAATAATCATAATATCATCATTCGAACATTTTTTCTAAAAATCCTTTCTCTTCTTTCTTTGCTTATTATCTGCTTATTCCTCCAAATGTTTAAGTAGAATTACCCATATATTATTATTAATAAGGATATCCAACCTAATTAACTATAGGTTATCCATAGGAAGTTCCAACAGTTTAAACAAGTGGTGCTCCTACAGTCTAAACATAAGATGCTCCTACATTTTGTACTGGAATAGTAGTAGTTCTTACTTAAGAGCTAACTAATTAGACGGGTTACTATACTGTTGTGTATACTTATTATTAGTATACAGGTTATTAGACAACGACTTAAGATTAAGTTAAGACTGGTTAAGTAACATATACTTAAGATTATTAGGCTTCTTGTACAGGTTAGTGAACAATTTGTTTTTCTATGGCTTAATATTCTACTCTTTCTTATAGTCTTTCTTGAGGAACGTATTCTATATATCTATCTTAATAGACTTAAGGAATGTATTCAGTTTAGTATTCTACAGCATAATAGTCAGTGACTTCTTTTCTTTAGGAACATATTCTACTCTTATACTGCTTCATATTCAACTATTACTTTTTCATAAGGAACATATTCGATTCTGGATTCACCTTTAATTACTTCTCTTTAAATGGATGAAGAGACTTAAATTGCAGGTTATTATTATACTTATGAATAGATCATAGGTTATTAAACGATAGTTGGTTAGTTGTAAATAGCAGGTTAAGAAGTAGCTTACATGGGAAATTATTATCCTAATTATGCTTACTATGGTTAGGATTAGCTAAAGTTTTATCCTTATAATTATTATTAAATACTTTATCCTTAGAATTAGGCTTAGTTTTATTAAAGGGTATTAGCGTTGTTGTTAGGGTTGATGCTTTAGTTCTTGTCTTGTACAGGCTTTTATTATTCAGGTTAGTCGGAATTTCTTTTCATTTTTATTTTCTGGTTTTTTTGTTTTGCTTTTAATTTATTTTTTATTTCTCTCAAGTTTTTTTTTTAAATATTTATAATATTTTTTTTTTTTTTATTTATAAATAAAAATTATGAAACATTTAATTTATGTGGTTTTCAAATATGAGAAATGAAATTATTTTATATTGGTTATTAAGAAAATAAATAAATATTTAATTACATAAAAGAATATTAAAAATGATTAATAAAAATAGTAAAAATAATAATTTTATTATATTTAAATAATTATTATTAAAGGTTATTAATTATCTCATTCAAAATTGTTTTATAAATTTTATAAGAATTAAATGTTATTAAAAAAATTAAATTTTTATTAAGCATTTTTTTAGAAAAATAAAATAAAATGTTTAAAATGTTAAGAAATTAATTCAGTTGAATACAGATGAAAATTATAAATATAATTTTTATGGTATTTAATCTATTAATAATTTTATTATTTAAATATAAATTTCTAACTTTTCGAATATTATTTATATTTTATTAATTTAATTTAAATAATTTTAAATTAAAAATATAAAAAACAGAAATATTATTATTTATTAAAAGACGTATAGCTTAATATTTAATATTTAGTTAAAATATGATAATAATTAATATTAAATATATATAAGAAATAATTTAAAATTAAATAAAGTATATATATATATATATATATATATATATATATATATATATACATTATTTATACTATTAAAAAAAAAATTAAATTAAATATTATTTTTATTAATATATAAAATAAAATTCTGTTAGAAAGTATAGCTCTTAAAATCTAATAATATAAATATTAAAGTTAACCATTAAATTTTAATTAAAGATTATTGTTCTATATTTTTATTATTTGAAATGGTGAATATATATTTATTTTAAAATAAATATTTATAAACATAATTAGTATTTGAGAAAATTATAATAAGTAATAATTCGCAGACATATATTAATTAAATAAATTTATAAAAAATAAAAAAATAACTAAAATAAATTATTTATACAACTATATTATAAAAATAAAAAGAAATATTTATTAGTATTTAAATTAAATAAATAAAAAATTATAAACATAAAAAGATATATATTTAATGTTAACAAAATTTTTGAAATTCAACATTAAAAATTTTCAATTTAGATATTAATTAAGTTATAATTTTACATTAACTAATAAAGAAAAAAGAAGATAAAACAAAGAGCTTGAATATAATGCAATAAAATAAATAAACGAACTTAGTACTGTTGCATAATAAGAATAATATACATAATAATAATTAGAATTATTAATAGTTGAAAGAGAAGCATAACTTTAACCAATATTAAATCAAAAAAAAATCCCAAAAGACGCTTTATTTTTCTTTTTGACTTTTACTTCACCAATCTTATTTGGATCAGGATATGTATTTTATCAATTTTATAGTTAATCAGCTTCAATTTTTACAATTTCAATAATGACTGGGGTTATTAAATATATAGGCTTTCATTAATCATTATAGGTTTATAAATAAAAAATATGCCGAAATAAATTATTTATAATTAATAGGCTGCAACTCATTGGGGATTTTTAATTTAATAGCATGATTTATAAACAGATTATATTAAATCAAGCCCTTATATTCGCAGATATTTAATTTTAAGTTAAATAAATTAATTTATGTTATTAATATAAAAAAAAAAAAAAATTAAAAAGCCACATTACCTTTATTTGCTATTTTGGGTAATATTATGAATATGATATATGGAATGCCGGTTTTAGGAATATAAAATTTTGCTTGTATATAAATTATTTTTGGAATATAATTATGTAAAATTAGAAAATACAGATATATATATATAACAAAAAAAAATTATATTTTATAAATATGCCTTATTTTTTTTATAGATTTATAAGGTTTAGATAATTTAGCTTTCAAAAATTAAACATGTCCTTAATGGTATTATAGTTTAAAATTGTATTTATCCGTTTTATTAATGATTAGTTATGGGATTTTATTTGCAACCTATTTTAATTATGATAGCTAAATAAAAAATTTAAAAAAATAAGAACCAAATCCTTATTTATAGTATATGCCAAAAGCACAATGAAAAACTTTTTTTTTAAGATATTAATGGAATTAAATTAATTTAAGGAAAGTAAATAGATAAAAATAAATTTTGTAATTGAATTTTATTTTAATTTATATGTAAAAGCAAAATTTAATATTAAAATATATTAATACTACTTTAAATATAAAAATAATATTAATGAAAAAATGTATTTTATTTTAAATAATTTTTATTATTTTTTTTTAATAAATAAATTATAGTAATTTGAGTTAAAATATTTATAAAATTTTAGAAATATTTAAAAATCGATTTTTTTGCGTAAAATTTTATTATTTATTTATTAAATTAAATTTACGTAAATTATACAATTAAATTAATTATTTAATTTAATATCATTTTTAATGTTTATTTTTATATGATAAAATATATAAACTCTATAATCTGAATATATTATATCTGATTGTATTATTTATTTAATAATTTAAATTAATTTTTAACTATTTAAAGAATAAAAACAATATATTTTCTTTTTTATTTATATATACTTTTTTAAAAAAAGTTAAAAATTAACTATTAAATTTTATATATAATTTTTTGTTTTTGTTTATATTTTTAAAAAAATGAATATCATATAAAATAATATTAAAAAATAAAATCAAAAAGTTCAAATAAAAGGTGATATTACTTCGATTTTAAGTAAAAATAAATTATAATAACTAAATTTTATATTTTTATATATAACAAAAATGAAATTAAATAATTATTTAAAATTCAATTATTTTCATTTATTTCAAAATTAATTTTTATTTTGTCAAGATTTAGGGTGTTATACAACTAAAAATTCATCTATTGCAGAAAGAATCAAAAAAATGTATATAAATCAACCAGAATCAACCAAAAACAGTAATAAGACAAATTGTAATTTAGATTAAAAGTAAAATTTGAAGGAACTTATAGATAGTTTTTATTTAAAAAAATAAAAATCTCCATAATTAAATA